AGAAGTCTTCCTTAATGAGGGATACTGAAGCTCCTGTGTCTACAAGTATGTCTAGCTCGATGTTTTGTACTGTAGCTTTAAACGTAGTTGCATTGACATGATTAACATAGGAAGATAAATAAGCAAAACGCCGCTTACCTGGTTAACGGGAGCGGTTGTGACCGCATCTTCTAGCGTTCCTGCCAAACATTTTGCAATATATACACTCGGCTTGACGCCCATTGTAGTTGCGCCATGCTGGTTGTCTATTCCACCTCGAATTCGACTGTGCGTGGATAGCACCTCGGTCGCAAAGGTTGGTGACAGCCATTTTAGTCTGGCAGCTGTCCAGGCCACTAGATTTTGTAGCTCGATCCACAGTCGTTACTGATGATGAATGTGCATTGGATAAATTCACTAGTTTGTCAGCGGCCAGGGAGCGTAATGTTGTTCTTTTTACGTCAGACATATCAGTTGGTGGATTTCGAAGAAAGTGTTCTTTAAGTGGTCCGGACAACAGGCCTTCGACAAAACGTGAGCGCATTAATTCCTCTCGTCCCATCATATCTAAACGAGGGAATGCTTGTACTGCGACTTGCTGCATGGAATGAAGATAGTCTATTGGACTCTCGCTTGCTTTCTGGTGGCGTGATAAAAACTGAATTGTCACCTGCTGGGTGTCTACGGGCATGGAAAAACAGTCGTCTAGAATTCTCCAGTTGTGTGAGAGCGCGTTACCGGGCGCAAAACCATTCGCTATAGCCCTGCGTACTGATTCATCTCTCAGATAAGAAACGAGATAGTTGAAATGTTCGGTCAATGGAACTCTCTGAAGGTACGCTGTGACTTCAAATTTCCAAACAGAGTAATCTGACGACGTTTCAAGCAGTGGTGGCTGGCGTGGAGTTGAACCGGGAGCAGCCCTGATTGGAATCAGAGGCGGTCCGTCTAGATTCTCATCGCGTTTTTCTGTCGGCACCTCCATCACCAGTTGTAACACGTGTAATCAGCAGTCACTGGAAGGCGGGAAGACCTGAAGCCACAGCACACACAATGTTAACCGAGCACTTCACACCACAGAGGGAATAGGAATGAAGACCACCAGTCGTTTATTTGAAAATTAAAATTCGCGGGTTATGTACAGGAAAGAGAGCTAGTTTACAAAACGGTCTTATGAGTCGTCCTGTAAGTTTAGTGCATGAAGAGCTTGCTCTTCTTTTTCTAAAGCACTTATTCTTGCTTGCCCTGCAATAGAAAGAAAACAAAATCTATTAACAACATCATACATGATGATTTTAATCCCGTTACATTGTCACACACTGAACCACGCCGCGACCTTTAGCTTAGTCAAACACGACCTTACTGTCAACAGTCCGGCAACATGCAATAGAAAATTAGATTAAAAAAGAGAAGTCTTTAATCAAAATCACATAATAAAAGCTCAGACGAGGAAGACTGATGAACAAAAGGTGTGCTTAAACGAGATCTGAACAAAGGTTAAAATACACGACAGGGAGACTAAACAAATAAATGACAGTACAGTCCGACAAAATGCTGTAGAGGGATTTTCATCCTTCTCTTTCTGTTGCAACACGTGTGCTTGTTTTCGTGACATACTTCGCGACTCCTCAATGAATTGTTATCCGCATAACTTTGGGCACGCATTGGACTGGGATTACTTAGTAATTTAGTGGAATTCTCGATGCCCTGATGAATCATTTTATGAAATTTTCCTCCTAAACGGCATTCGAAATTTGTAAAATTTAATGGTTTAGTTGTAGTTTCTTGAAATTCGCGAAGGAAAATGAATTCGGTTCATCTTGAAATGCCAAAATGTTTAATAAGCTGTCGGCTTCTTTTTGATGAATAAAAGGAAATGAGTCAAAATATTAACATCCTCAACATCTTCCTCAGTCACACTCCAGATTTTGAACTCTTCCATATAATCCTTGAAAGCATCGAAATTTGAATGTTTATTCAACTCTTCCATCCCAGGTTCCATTGAGATTCCCATGTGATGATTCGAAGTACCTGAATTATTGCACTAACCAGGAATCCTCGAAATAGAGCAACTTACGTCAGGTAGAGCTAAGTGAACACAAACGAACGTGTTGTATTTGGAATTCAAAATCAGGCGGACACCGAGTACAAAGGAATAATGAGTTCATACAAACATCATATATAAACAGCTTGTTAACGTCTGAAGTCTTTCCTGGAGCTACTGGCCCTTCTATTGCATCATTCTGTTTGAACATTCCTTTTCTTAAATAGCTATTACTTTTAGATCGATTCGACCAATAAGACGGTCGGGGAAAACCTCCAGAACGCAAACTCGCCTTCATGATATCATCCTCTATAAAGCAACGAGGTCAGGCATGTGGTCTTTGCATAGTTGGGCAATATAAAAAAATAAACGAAACATTGTACTTGGAAATATAATTCTGAGCAGAAATAGTGTAGAGTCAGTATTTATTCCGAAAGCATAACTGAAGTTGAGTGTAATTCCACTTTCAACCAGCAATATAGTGCGGTATGAAGTGTACGGACTTGAGAGTATGAAGAAATGTGAAGAAAAGAGTAGTAGATTGAGGTGAATTCTCACAGGATATGTTGGGTTTATTGAGAATAATAGTCCTATTTCATTGAAATCAAGAACTGATAAAAGCTAGGTCACTGTTAAAAACATGGATGTACTGAACGGTGGTTTTGCACGGGCGTATGACTCTTCAGCAATGCAACACACGAAATTAGGCGACACGCGCGAACGCTTAACCTTTAATATACTGAGCCGTCGTCAAACGGTGCTAATCCGGAACCTTAGTACCCTCGGTAATGCGATAGCTGCTAGTTGCAAAAACCCTACTGCCCAAAGACAAATGTTCTTAGATTTTAGGGTACACGAACTACCAAATAATTACACGACTGACTAGAATTATTGTACTCGAATAGACTATCACTGGACGTTACCAAAGTCCGGGAATCGTATGAAAACAACAAAAAACGAGAGTGAAGAGATCATTTTGTGTACGAATTCGTCAAAAAGGTGTATATTCGAATGGATTAAATCAGTTAAGGACATTAGTAAATATGATGACCTATACTTTCAAACTGTCCACACTGGAACAATACTCCAAGGGTCTCCGAAGCGAAGGAGAGGTATTTTTGAGCACGTTTGGAACTGAAGATACCTGCCTAAAACTCCTACAACTTTTAGGGAAGATTCTGTGTTTCCTCAAAGTGGCCTCTACTCTAGTTGGTAACAATGAAATATTTGGGAGAGCTGGAACTACTTCCTGGGCGGTGTTTCGTTATAAAGCGGTACGATTGTTTCGTTAAAACGTATCTATTAGTAAAATGTCAGGAGTTAAGTGGATGGATGAAATAATCAAATAAATCAGTCTGTTTGTAAAAGTTCGTCACAAAGATGATACGTATATTGATAACTGAGACCAGGTTTCAGCGCCTATTTCATTTCGGGATGGGGGTCCTGGTATTTCGTGCATTACTTCTCAGCATACATGGTAATTCGTTTATTAGTTATCACCGTTTTACCTTTTAATATTAAAGCGTTCCAAAATCTTTTTTTTTTCGCTGACGGAAACTTAGTTCAAGGTTGACAAATTACTTTGCTTCTGCAGATTCTAGATGATTTTCCGGGGTTTTTATCTCTTAGTTACATCAACTATAATGCGAGAATCATATGTAATCATCCGTCCAATAAATCTCGAGGCGGGCATGTGTTGGTTCGTACATTAGTTCAACGGTTCCCCTCAAGATCTTCAATGTTCTAAGAATTTGGGAGATTGGGAAATTGAATACTACCTGGCTAATACAATGTACGGTTGATAAGGTTGATTTACGAACCTGTTACAGGCAGATAATTCGAGAATTACTCTGTCTCGATTCAACAATTGCAATGAAACCAGTTGCATACAGGGACTTTCCTACTGTCTGACTCATAAGCCATTTGCTCCACAGTGTCTAAGTGTTTAACAAGACAAGTTATTTGTTAGTAAACACATTAGTTTGAATCTATGTGGTGATTTTTGACTAAGAGCGTTCAAAGGGCTCATCCTGTACAAAGAACCTCCTTATAGCAAGGGGATTTGGGATAAAGGCGCTGGACAACGGAAACTCAGTGGATGCTGTCTACATAGACTTCAGTATGGCTTCTGACAAGGTGCCAACTAATAGACTGCTATTGAAGTTAGGAAATCTTGGTATTGTTGGACATCTTTTAAAATGGCTTAAGGATTTCCTAGTAGGTCTTAAACAGAAAGTAAGAATAAATCCCAAGTGCTCCATTTGGAGCCCAGTGCCTAGTGGAGTACCTCAAGGTCCCATCCTGGGTCCTTCACTCTTTATACTGTATGTAAATGATCTCCTAATTTTAGTGCAGTCCCCAATGTTATTATACGCTGACGATGTGGAAATCTGGTGAGTAATAACTGGAGACACAGACGCATGCGCTCTTCAGGCAAACTTAAATGATATGATTAACTGGTCTGAAGAGTGGCTGATGCCTATCGGCGCGGCAAAGTGTCTACATACACTTGGGGGATTCAAAGGTTAATAGGTTCAGCATAGGATAAGTGCCAGTACCCGTGATCCGGTCTCATAAGGATCTAGGGGTGACAGTGAGTCATGATCTTAAGACGATGGCCCATTGCCGGGAGGTCGTAGCTGAGGGGTTTAGAAACCTCTGGGCTTTAAAACGGACATTCACTAAGATACTCCCATGTTCATCACAGTATACACAACCTTAGTGAGAATTAAGCTTGAAAACTGCGTTCAGGATGCAAGCCCCTGTTTAAAAGATGACTCTGATATCCTAGAAAAAGTACAGAGAGCAGCTACCTGTGAAATTCCAGAACTCTGGGGTTTACCATACAAAGAGCGTCTTGAAAAGCTGGTCCTCTTTACTTTGTCCTATCGCAGACTAAGGGGAGATCTGATTTTAATGTACAGAATAATGAGAAATGATTATGGACCTAACTTATTCTGTCTTTTTCTTCCCACTAGATCGGGACACCCCAGAGGACATAGCAGGCGAGTAGAAAAGCCAAGAACGAACAAAATTCCCGTGGCAAGCAGGTTTTCACACCGAGTCATCAATACTTGGAACCTGCTGCCCGAAGCAGTGGTGTCCGCACCTTCAATTGACTCTTTCAAGAGAAGACTGGACACTCACAGAAGCATACTAGAAAAGAAATAACATAGGCCGCCGGCTTTTTGTCCTTAATACACGAATCTGAATCTGAAACAACTGCCCTTATTCTACTAAACTTTTGGGTGAGACTATAATTTATGTACGACCTTTGAGCGACCCTAAAGGGTTAGAAATTAGATTTAGGGTTTTCATCACGAACTGACATCGGCTATGACGCCGAAAGGCTATTTAACCAAATGTATGAATGAATTTCTCGCCAAAATTCAAGACTCGTTATCTTATATCTGACTGGTTCGTCCATAAATTACAGTCTCACCGAATAATAGATTTTAATATCATAGCAGGAATTTATTGGTTTATAAAGAGGACTATAGAAATATCATATCTATCATTGCCTTCTTACTTGAGTGCTTGAAGATTCAGTTTTTTACACGCCATTTTTTCAAAAAGTAATTTATTAGCTTAACGCAAATTTGTTGTACTACCGTACAATTACAACATACCACTGCTTATCTACTGCAGCTGTGATATGCCGCGTGATACTAACTTCCCGCCTAAGCCAGTGAACAGCTTGTTTATTATTATTATTTTGCCCTACCTATAGAGCAGTTAAAGTTTGTGGAAAGTCGTATTTTTCATGTCAATGTTTCACTAATCGTAATATATAGTAAAAATTTGAATGATTTGACTTTGTCATCCTTTAATACCTTGCGTTTGTGGGACAGCTGAATAGTTGGAGTGAACAATATGATTAGGTGCATGAAAGGTAGACATTAAATTTACTTTCATCATTGGAAGATTCTGACATTTTTTGGTATTACTCCCCTAGATACAAACCAATGATGGCCCAGGAACCTTTACATATTGTGCCAGATAACATCTTATTACATTTGTACACGTAAGTACCATCTTACTGTCAACTTTTCGACCATGTAGGCGATTTCTTCTTAATATTCCCGATGAGTTGAAAGAAGATTGTGCAAAGAATTTCGTAAGAATCTTTTTTGAAGTTGAGCGGGCTCATTGGTTTTATGTCGATTATTGTATTGAAGATCCTTCAGTTGGTGGTGTTGATATGTTCGGACTAACTCAACAATGTAGTTTTTCAGCTTCATAATACATAATCTCTTAGTATTTGAGAAGTTTCCTTCTATTGTCCCCAGGGGTATAAACTGGCAAGAAAAGTTTGTCGAATGGAAGAAATACCGTGGATCCACAGCTACTGGGAGCATGATAATTATTGACGAACATTACAAGATGGTAAGAAAGCTTTTTATTGATTTAATTCCTAGATCTTGTTAGTCCAAGGATTTTATGGCAATCGTTGGAGCCTACCTGGTGGCAAAATTAATCAAGATGAATCTCTTGTTGATTGTGCTTCTCGTGAAGTAAGTGGCATAAATTTTTAGGTATTTTTCTATAGGTAATGGAAGAAACGGGTCTGGACTTAGCAAATCGTATCTTACCGTCCCTCTATATTGATCGTTATATTGGTGGTACTTTAAGACGAGCATTCATTGTTGAAGGACTTCCCAGGACTTCTCGGTTGAAGCCTGGTACAAAAAACGAGATTGAGGCTATAACTTGGTTTGGGATTGCTGATTTGCCAACACATATACAAGATATTACTACTATGGAAAAATTGAATTCAAGACCGAACAACTTCTACCTGGTGATCCCATTTATTCGGTAAGCGTTTCACTTGTTATATATATATATATATATATATATATATATATATATATATATATATATATATATATATATATATATATACATAACCTCCCAAACAATTCTCCTGTAATTCCTTCTCATCACTAGTTCTTTCCTCTTATGAAACTTTTGGTTGCTTGAAACCCCACTGCCTAGTAGGTAGATGTGATGAACTGTAAACGACTTCTAGCTTGGATTTGTGTTTATCTTGGCTATCAAATCGAAACAAGTTGATCGAGTTTCAGCTACTCTATTACATAAAATTCAAATGAATATATCACTAAGTCACTTATTTACTATGGTTCGTCGCTATTACACCGTATGAAAGAGAACTATCAGGAATGAAAAATACTTGAGTTGTCATATTGTTTATTTAGATGTTAGACACACTTCAGCCTCATCTTTGGACCCTTTATTATTTAAACTGCGGAAACTGGTGTTCGTGCTAAAGGAGGGTAAAAAGGATTTAAACTTAGGACTAGCTGGTGAAAGTAGATAATGTATAATTTTCCTAGACCATCCCAAAAAAACCTAAATATACAGACCTATTTTAGACCTGCTTCGGTTTGGACACCCGGGCAGCATCATAGCCCTTGCACAAATCAAATGAGATTTGTGTGGTGCATATGTATTTGGTGCCTCCTTGTACCAATATCTTTGTGTTCAAATAAATACATAATAATTAGCTTTATTTACACATCATATTGCTGTTTGGTCAGCAAGCAAACGATAATAAAGATATATTGTTAGTCATTATTCGTGTGCGAACGTGCATTTTAGTCGGTTTTGAGGACTATTAATGCTCATAAATTTTATGTAACTTGTTTTCCACTTTACAATGTAATTTCGTGATTTCTCACATTTAACATACTTGGAAGTATATGATTCACTTCATATTAATGCAATAAAAAAAGGATTTTTATAATTACGACGATGTATGTCTCATTTCTATATTATTTTTTATTGATTTGGTTTTTATAATCATCCCCATTAGTCTTATTCTATGCAGTAACTGATATACTTATTCCATTTAACCTATGTAAAGTAATCTTTTCATTCATGTTTGTTTATCCGGAAGTCATGATTCCAATAACGTAATCTAAGTCATTATTGAAAAGAAAATTACTAGAATTGTATGTTGACTCGTACGTATTATAGGTTTGTGTAGGCGTATCATGGCACTAATTCAATGTCCAAACTTGGGCGGTGTTCGAAACTGCAACTTATTGGTTTAAAGTTGAATCATTTACTCACTAAGACATTGCTCCGCTTATTACTGAAACATACTTACTGTCCACACCACAAAGTTTGTTCAGTAACAAAGAGAGATAAGTGGAGCTTACCGTGTAGGTATCATGAGTTCAATCTACCTGCATACATAAACACTGAATGATTTGCTTGTGATGGAAAGCGAGTAAACTGACTGGTGTCGGAGCACAATCTTTTCAGTCAAAATCCGTTTATTGTTATTAGATACTTCCCCTTGTTCCTTCTGTTTCTGAACTAGACTAGTTCATTATTTTCAAAAGTCGCTTTTTAACCAAGAACCGTACATTGAAATTTTTAAGTTTTTAGTACTCCCACTTCCTTTTCACCAAGTATCTCCTCCCTTTCCCATTCTCTATTTAAATTTTACAAAACTGAGTAAAATATTGATGAACATTTTTTATTGGGTTATTATTCATCATTTGATGGGAAAATGGAACGATGTAATTTTCTTATATTTAAACAGTGCTAGGTTCCTATCTTATGGATTAGGCTATCTAAGATAACTTTAATTGCCAAGCTGAGTTTTGCTAATAAGGATAATTCTGTAAATCCAAACACCAGGGTCTGGATAGCATTGTAACCAGTGGTCCTTCACTTACCGGTCAGGTGCTCTACAAGTTATGCAATGAAGCCTAGTTGTTAGTCACGTTTCAACTGCACTTCACCAATTTCTATGTTTACTTCATGCTACACTAGAGCACATAACTAACTACATTTCATTACAATAGTTATCCAGCCAGGCTTTTTTCATGACAATTCAAATCAAGTTGAATTTTGTTACCGAGGTGTAAGTATTGTAATAACTCTGTGAACTTGGAATGCTACTCCGCTTAGCGATAGCGGTCCTTTCTTTTTTTTGACAAGTTCAATAGTGGAAATATATATCTCCAAATTACTGGCGTTTGTATTTGCTGTACAATGTCCCATAAATGTTCTTTGAATCCATTTCTAGCCAGCGTAAATGCTCCGTATCACATGTACCCTAGCAATCATAAAAACCTATATGGAATACAAATATTGAATTACAACTGTTAAGGTTAGATCAAACTTTGTAGCTTATATTTAGGCATGTTTTTCTAGTCACATGTTTAACGTGACTCTGTACGACCTTTGCCGTCCCAAAGTTTAATTAGATTCAGTATTCTCAGTGGGACGATGTGTTTAAAAATAATTATCTCAACAATATGGAAGGACTAAAGAAACTGTAGGAACTCCGCCTGGAGTCCCTCCGGGGGCTACTGCCGGTCCCAAGCCCGGATAAAGGAGGAGGGTCGGGCACGGGGTTAGCGTCCCCATCCCGTAGAAAACTAACTCGCTAAAAAAACGCTTACCAGAAAAAATAATTCAAACCACTTTAACTCTGCCCTGGGAGTTAGAAGGTCTTCATTTAGAAGAATTATGACGCTTCATGGTGAAAGCCGAGTTCCTTCGAAAGCCACGAGGCCGATGCCCCTTCTGATAACCAGAGCGACCATTTGTTTAGGTACATGGAATGTTCGTACAATGTGGGACACCGGGAGAGCCTTCCAAATTGCTGCAGAAATGAGAAGATACAACCTAGAGGTACTTGGGATCAGTGAAACACATTGGACGCAAGTTGGACAACAACGACTAGCTTCAAGGGAGCGCCAGTTATACTCCGGCCATGAAGAAGAAAATGCACCACATACACAAGGAGTTGCATTGATGCTGTCCAAACAAGCACAAAAGGCACTTATAGGATGGGAATCTCATGGACTAAGGATCATCAAAGCCTCGTTCAAAACAAAGAAAGAGGGTATTTCAATGAACATCATCCAATGCTATGCGCCTACCAATGACTACAATGAAGACTCTAAAGATCAATTCTACAATAGGTTGCAGTCAATCGTCGAGAAGTGCCCAACAAAGGACCTGACCATTCTGATGGGAGATTTCAATGACAAGGTTGGAACAGACAATACTGGATATGAAGACATCATGGGATGACACGGACTGGGAGAAAGGAACGAAAATGGTGAGAGATTTGCAAACCTATGTGCCTTCAATAAACTGGTCATAGGCGGCACCATATTCCCATGGTGGACTTCACCGGATCACTCTACACAAAACCAAATCGACCATATTTGCGTCAACAAAACGTTCAGGAGGACTATAGAGGACGCGAGAACCAAGAGAGGAGCTGATATAGCATCAGATCATCACTTGCTGGTCGCTAAGATGAAATTGAAACTCAAGAAGCACTGGACAACGGGGCGGACAATATCACAAAAGTTCAATACGGCCTTTCTTCAGGATACTAACAAACTCAACAAATTCAAGATAGTCCTCAACAACAAGTTCCATGCCTTTCATGATCTACTCAATGGAGAAGGAACTACTGTGGAGAGCAACTGGAAGGGGATCAAAGAGGCAATCACTTCAACATGTCATGAGGTCCTGGGTCACAAGGAGCACCATCACAAGGAATGGATCACTGTTGATACACTGGATAAGATTCAAGAAAGAAGGAACAAGAAGGCAGCAATCAATACCAGTCGAACAAGAGCAGAAAAAGCCAAGGCACAAGCTGAATACACAGAAGTAAACAAACAGGTGAAGAGGAGCATCAGAACCGACAAACGTAAATATGTGGAAGATTTAGCAACGACGGCGGAAAAGGCTGCAAGAGAAGGAAACATGAGACAATTGTATGACACGACAAAGAAACTCTCTGGAAATCGCCGCAAACCAGAACGACCAGTGAAAAGCAAAGAAGGCGAGGTAATCACCAACATTGAAGAGCAACAAAACAGGTGGGTAGAATACTTCAAAGAACTCTTGAATCGACCAGCTCCACTGAACCCACCCAACATCGAAGCAGCACCCACGGACCTCCCAATCAATGTTGGCCCACCAACAATTGAAGAAATCAGCATGGCCATCAGACAAATCAAAAGTGGCAAAGCAACAGGACCGGACAACATCCCAGCAGAGACACTAAAAGCAGACTTAGCGGCAACTGCAAGTATGCTCCACATTCTCTTCAATAAGATTTGGGATGAGGAACAAGTACCAAAAGACTGGAAAGAAGGACTTCTGATCAAAATACTGAAGAAAGGCGATCTCAGCAAGTGTGATAACTACAGGGGCATCACTCTTCTCTCAATACTGGGAAAAGTCTTCAACAGGGTATTGTTAAACAGGATGAAGGACTGCGTAGACGCCCAACTTCGTGACCAACAGGCAGGATTCCGTAAGGATAGATCGTGTACAGACCAAATCGCAACTCTACGGATCATTGTGGAACAATCAACTGAATGGAATTCATCACTCTACATCAACTTCATTGACTACGAAAAGGCATTTGATAGCGTGGACAGAACAACACTATGGAAACTTCTTCGACACTACGGCGTGCCTCAGAAGATAATCAATATCATACAGAACTCATATGATGGATTACACTGCAAAATCGTGCATGGAGGATGGTTGACAAAGTCGTTCGAAGTGAAGACCGGTGTTAGGCAAGGTTGTTTACTTTCACCCTTTCTCTTTCTCCTGGTGATCGACTGGATCATGAAGACGTCAACGTCTGAAGGGAAGCGCGGGATACAATGGACATCTAAGATGCAGTTGGATGATCTAGACTTCGCAGACGATCTGGCCCTTCTATCCCAAACGCAACAACAGATGTAGAAGAAGACGAACAGTGTGGCAGCAGCCTCAGCAGCAATAGGTCTCAATATACACAAAGGGAAAAGCAGGATTCTCCGATACAACACAGAATGCACCAATCCAATCACAATTGAGGGAGAAGATTTGGAAGGTGTAAAAACCTTTACGTATTTGGGCAGCATCATTGATGAACAGAGTGGATCTGATGCAGATGTGAAGGCGCGGATCGGCGAAGCAAGAGCAGCATATTTACAACTGAAGAACATCTGGAACTCAAAGCAGCTGTCAACCAACACCAAGGTCAGGATTTTCAATACAAATGTCAAGACAGTTCTACTGTATGGGGCAGAAACCTGGAGAACTACGAAAGCCATCATCCAGAAAATACAGGTGTTTATTAACAATTGTCTATGCAAAATACTTCAGATCCATTGGCCGGACACTATTAGCAACAACGTACTGTGGGGGAGAACAAACCAGATCCCAGGGAAGGAAGAAATCAGGAAGAAGCGCTGGAAGTGGATAGGACACACATTGAGAAAAGCACCCAACTGCGTCACAAGACAAGCCCTCACATGGAATCCTGAAGGTCAAAGGAAAAGAGGAAGACCAAAGAACACATTACGCCGAGAAATGGAGATAGACATGAGAAAAATGAACAAGAATTGGATGGAACTAGAAAGGAAGGCCCAGGACAGAGTGGGTTGGAGAATGCTGGTCGGCGGCCTATGCTCCATTGGGAGTAACAGGCGTAAATAATAATAAAAAATAAACAAAAGAAACTAGGAGGGAAAAACTAGAGAAAGATAAAGAATAATTACTTTTGTGTTACAACGACCAATTATCACCTGGAATTTTTAGATGTGGACCACTAAGTTTTCATTTTACAGCACAACTATTACCAAGTAGTTAGTGACCTCACAATACCAACTCAATCATCTTGATCTAATTTTCTCTAGCTTTGCCCGTAACACTTTATTGTTCTGTCATCTATAACCGTCGCATTACATACACAAACTCGAGAAGTGGTTAAAGTGAGCGAACAAGTTTATTATTGTCATTGCATTTAGAGAGTTTATAATACACTTATTTATTTTTATAACTTAACTATAGGCAACTGAAACTGTACGTAGAACAACGACTGTCAGGCAAACCACCTGGTTTAGCGTTATCTGAATCAGAACGCCTTTGTGGTAATTCTATGAATTATTCTGTTAATCTTCAACACAATGCAATAAACAGTCTGTCAAATATGAAAGTGAATGCAACCAGTACCCCGTCCAAGAAGCAAAAAAAGAATAAGAAATCAAACACGTCAAAAAGTCCCAATCAATCTTTATCTGAGGATGGAAAAACTGGTGAAAAATCGAGGTAATACAACTCATATTGTACTATCATGTTACCGAAATTATCAATTATTTTAACTTAGTCGTATAAAGTTATCGTTGTTGATTATTTTGGTCAGACTATACTACGGCCCCATCTGATAACTTAAATACATGAAATTCACCACAAAGCAACGTATAAAATTTACTGCAGGTCAACTGGCATTAAGTTAATTGTTTTAGTTTGAGAACTTCTCTTTTTCCTTATCAAACAGAAAAATGATAGTCGTCCGATTACTATCAAAATTCTGTGCACATTTTGTTTATAATGCCAATGGATCTATCAGATATACGTCATCACCTCGTTTTACGTAATGATAATAATAATGAAATAATGATGATAATAATAGTAAATGTTGTATCTCGTCATTGAAGTTTAGTATTGGTCTACAATACTTGGAGAGTTACGTACCCAAATGTGGTCAGTTCGTTTCGTGGACGATAACGGCACTTCACAAACAACATCCGACAGCTAACGCATAGATAGGGAAACCTGATATTTAAGGTAGGAGAAGTATCGCAAAACAAATAGACAACTCCGTAAATGTATAGTTACAATAATATGACCTTCAAGCATATAGAAATTTAGCTAACTGGAAGTAATAACAACCAATCATTAAAAGCTACAGCTCATGCGTAAAATTGAATTAGAAAAGATTTCCGCATTGTCAACAAAATCTGAGTATTGTGATCGCCCTGAAAATTGCCTGTTACCCATCGTAGAGGAGCATAGGCCACCTACCCGGATTCTCCATTGAACTCTGACCCAGACAATCCTATTTCGTTGTCTCCCATTACTATTCATTGTTTTGATGTCTGTCTCCAATTCTCTGCGCAGTGTGTTCTTCGACCTTCCACTTTTCCCTTCGCCTACAGGGTCCCAAGCCAGGGCTTGCCTCGCATTGCAGTTTGGTGATTTCCACAATGTGTGTCCCACCCACCCCCAGCGTCTTTTCCTTATATCTTCTTCAGTTGGAAGCTGATATGTCCTCTCCTGCTGTAGGCTGTCGCTGTGGTGTCAGGCCAACGGACATTGAATATCTTGCGTAGAAAACTGTCTATAAATACTTGTATATTTTTGTCGATGATTGTAGTTGTTCTCCACGTTTCAGCTCCATACAGTAGAACTGTCTCGACGTTCGTATTGAAGATTCTGACTTCGATATTGGTTGACAGTTGTTTTGAGTTCCATATGTTCTTCAATTGTAGGAATGCTGTCCTTGCTTTGCCAATGCGTGCCCGCACACATGCATCAGATCCCCCTTGTTTATCGACGATTCTGTCCAGGTACGTGAGAGATTCTACATCTTCCAGAGCTTCTCCATAAATTGAGATTGGGTTGGTGTTCTGTGTGGGATTTCAGGATCTTTCTTTATCTCTTGTGTATGTTGAGGCCTACTGCTGCAGAGGCTTCTGATACACTGTGTGTTTTCACCTGCAGTTGTGTATACTTAAGTCATTGATTTATAGACTTCGCACCGTAGATTTTCCGACATTGTTCATTACAATCTCCGTGACTGATTGAAGACCATTCCCACGATAATATGTAACTTCTGCAGACTCCAAACACCTAATATTCAAACAAAGAATTCTTTCTTTTAATAGCTCAGATGGAGTCTCTTTCGTCACAGAATGTTTAGCATTTCTATATTGCAGTAGAAATGTATCTACTCCCCTCTCCAGTTCATTAAATGTTGAAGCAGCAATAAAATCAATAGCAGTCTCAATGTCGCGACAAAATATTCCGCTTGACCATTAGAAAAAGAGTGTCTGGGAGCAGTAAACAGATGTGTACACCCCATACCATTCAACCAGGCAGTGACTGCATCCACAACAAAACGAGGACCATTACCAGTCACTACCACCATGGGAACCCGTTCTCGACTAAACACCTTTTTTAATCCTGGACTGTGAAGTCAGAATTTGGTGAAGTTGTGAAAAAGCCTCAGACCACTTCGAAAAAGAATCAATGACCACAAGTGCATAGTATTTGCCAAGAAACGAACCACAATAGTCCACATAAATTCTCTGCCAGACCTCAGACGATACTGGCCATGGAGTCCACTTTGAAGGCTGATTTTTCAACTTATGACATTTCCCACAATTGTTTGTTGTACAAAATATATCTGCATTTATCTCTGGCCACCGACATGTGAGCCTTACCGAGGACCTCATTTTCTCAATACTCAAATGTCCACTATGAAAATCTTCAAGGACAAATTTACACAATAGAGGAGGAATAGCAGCACGATCATTTAAAGACGAAATACCATCAGGAGTAGTGGATAACTCATCTCACTTTAAAAAATAGACAGGAAATCTACGTTTCAGATTAGCATCCCAACCTTTTCGTATAGCACTGAGTATACATCCAAAGTACATACGAGTTTCTCTCATGAGATCTGGACGTTTCACCAGTAAAGGTAGCACTAACAAACAGTCTGAAGCTTTAACAGGTCTATCTTGTAATGATTTCCGAGAAATGTAGTCAACGTTTCGAATTTATTTGGCATTCCTGTGCTGGACCGTAAAGTCATAGGCGCTCAAAACAATACTCCATCGTTTAACCGTAGCAGCTAAGGATTTTTCAGGATGATGAATGAACTTTAAAGCTTCGTGATCAGTAACAATAGTGAATTTCTTTCTGAGTAAATATTTATGAAATCTTTTAACAGTCCAAAACACAGCTAATGCTGCTCGCTATGTTTATGAATAACCTTGTTCAGTAGCAGTAAGTTTGAGTAAAACATAGATAACTGGTCTACCTTCCTGCTTCAAGACTGCGCCAATACCCACAGGTTATGCATCAGTAATAAGCATAGAATGTACGCTAGGGGAGTAAGTTCGAAGAACAGCATCACTTTGAAGAAACTTTAGTAAACTTCGTAAGCATGACTCTTGTTCCTCACCCCATTTGAATGAATTGGATGTCAAAATATTAAATAAACAATTGGCACGACAAGAAAAATTAGGAATAAAACGGGAATAGTATTAAAGAGCACTCACTAGTGAACTCAATTCTGTAAGATTTTTTTGGAGACAGTGCATTTGTCAATCGAGCTAGTCGTTTCATATGTGGTCTTAAATCATTACCATCAGCTAGGTATCCAAGACATTAGAAACTAGATAAACAAAATGAACACTCATTTGGATCCACCATAATATTCTTTTTGGTTAAACGACTCAATAAAGCAATAAGTCTCTGGTCATGAACTACCTTATCAGAACCATAAACAATGGGATCATCTGGATCCCTCCTTATGGTCAGTTACTCCATATTTTGCGCATTTATGTTCATTGAATGGGCAGAAACGCGAGAAATGCCGTGCCCCACAGTTCCAATAACTAGTGTAAGGCTTTGTACAGTGACGCGAATTTGAGTCATGTACACTATACATTCGATTCGAGCGAGGAGAATTTCGCGAAGTTCTTTACTCAAATTTATATTCCATTATACCGAATAAGTTGAAGCGTGGTAAAGTTTAGTAGTTTACATTCAGAAAGCAAAATGTTTTGTATAATCATTATCTATCTCTTTATCTCATGCTTACGTGAAATAAAGCGCACTATTTATTCTAGTTATAAATGCCTTGTTTCTCGAAACTGTCGAATCTAAGTACATCTGTCCGTAGTATGGTGAGTATCCTGAATCCAAGCGTTAACTACCACAATGTATTGAAATATCATGACGCTTCCGACATATTAAAACAGAACCTAAATATCCAACTATTTTTTCTATAGAGTAAAACAAGCAAACATCAGTAATATGGATTTGTATTTCACCAATATAATTTTTCGCAGTCATAACGATTAACATTCTGCTGTTTTTGATTAGAAATCGAACAAGTTCTAATGTCGCTTGTAACTCCGAATTTAAGAAGTGTGGGAAACACAATGTAAGTCTACATCTGTGTTTGGTTATTTTTTTCCTGACGTTGATGATGATAAGTATGATAAAACTGTCCTCATCAATTTATTATTGTAAATCATACTTTTTACAATTCTAATGGCAAAAAATCTTAAACACAATATACCTGGCTGATCGATTCTTGACAATCATGCAATATTCTTAAATCATATGCTTCTGCACAGGAATTAGTTGCTAATTATATCCGACACTCGGTTATAGTTGACATTTTATAGCACGTTATTGAGGCTAGCAAACGTAATTTAAAATTTATTTCATATAACCGCTTATCGGTCAGCGTCGCACCAGTGACTAGTCGTGATGATCGGTTATAGTAAACATCTTGTACTTTATGACATAAAATAAATAAACCGCGATAAGCGTTAGATATTAGAAAATCAGCTATTGAAATGTTTTAGATTTGTCTCTTGTTAGTTATCATCCATTAACATTTATCAGTTTAAAACAAGAGCTAAATTGTAGGACCAAAGTGATGATCAATTCACGTATATAACTTGGTCCTTCAGGTAATCTATGTTATCTGTAAGAATGATAAACTTATAACGTATTAAAACAAAACACCATGATGTATAGTTGGTTCTCTGATAGTACATGAATTATTTCGATAAGTTACGTGTTTTTTGGCAATGAATATCGTAACGACAAACCAGGATCTTGTTCATCTAGTTAGTTACCTTTGAACAAATGATGTTATATGTTTTTGCAAGTCTGATGTATAATCACGTGTCTGGAATTTATTTGATGAAACCCTTATACCAATGAATGTTAACCACAACATAAATAGTCAGACACTAATCAGTCACATATAATTCAACTCTTTAGTGTTTTTAGGATGTACCACTAGCGAAATTGAGAAAACAACGAAATGTACGATTTACTTCATTTAGCACTTGTTACTTTCGTCAGTTAACATGTTTGTCTCATCTGCTTCCTTCAAATCTGTTTTCGGAATTTCGTCGATGGCTGGATTTAAAGTGAATAAAGATATCGGATAGACCTGCTAAAATGTACTTGGGTTTTTGGAAGGATTTCTTGGGTGTTATTGATTTAGTTTAATGTTTCATTTTACTTTAAAGGGATTTTATTAACGTAACATAGAATGTAAGTTTTGAACTCAGATAATATGATCAAGCTGGACATTATGTTTCAGCCATGGTTACTCTACGATTTAAATATTGTTTATTATCTTGAAGGCTAGCGGTTACGTCGAATTTCCATGTTGTTTGACTAGTGTGTGGCAAAATTACGAAACAAACCATACATAATGATGTTTACTGACATGCTTGTTGTGTTTTATAGTTTCTTTGTGTCAAATTATGCAATAAAAATGACATAAAGGTGTCTGAATAATGCGAACAGTGTTCCGTTAGAGTAAACTATCGCGTTAAGTTCTAAATTTCGGGTTGTTTGAAATTATCGTCGAGGGATTTCATCAGTGAACGAGACATTGACACAGCAACCAGAAGAACGATAGTTAATGATGGTGTGTGCCAGATTCCATAACAAGTTTATTTTTATTATGAAATAGTTGATTGGTCGTGTGTGTAACTCTAGGAATATCCAAGTTCCTACCCATAGGATCGAAGTTAACAACCATGTGAATGAGTGACGCGTAAAATCCTTGACAAGATTGTCTACAATTATTGTACTGTTATTGCCTATATGTATGAAACGCAGTACGAACGTCAATTTGTTTACGATATCTACCGAGTTTGCGTACAGTCAAAGAAGTATGCTTCCCAAAACGAATTTGGAAAGTTATTCATATGAAAATACGATAAGCTGTGTATGGCAGCTGAGTCGAAATTATAATGGCAAACATTATGAAAAGGAGAATAAAGAACACAAAGTATGGAAACTTACAATAAACGGATATCCAACGACTACGGCAGAATCGAAATCAACTTTTACAAATGTTAATTGGATGGAATTACAATAGAAAACAAATTGGATGCTATAAGTATGTTTACATGTTTAGAAATCCCAGACATTCACCTGGATATCCTCTAGGATTATTGTTGGTTCCAAACCCTGGTAAACGAGAACGGATAGGTGTTGGGTTAGCAATCTTACGACGTAAGAAAAAATCCCTTAAAAGCACGTTAACCAGAACAAATTATCTTAGCCACCCTAACTCTACACTGGGAATTGAAGTCTTCATATAGAAGAGTCATGACTCCACATAGTGCAACCAAGTGTGTCCCAAAACAATGATATCTCCCACTCTTTACACAGGTGAATTCACTTATTTACGAGATGCACCAGCGTGACGTACGGACATTCATAGGTAACGCTGGCACGACTCAGAAAAGGAAAAACGAGAAAACAGCAGTCAATAACGGTCGAACAAACGCAGCAAACCCCCATCCCACTGTCGATGCCCCAAATTGATAAATTGTGTAAATGCATTGTGGAAATCTAACCTCAAAGGCTTATGCAAGTGTTCATCAATTATTGTCAATGAACGCGTTATGACTTTGCAGTTAGACACCGAATCCGATATTACTTTGATTTCTTGCAAAACTTAGCACGAACTTGGCCGGTCAAGCATTCATCCTACTATCGATTGCATAAATAATCCATCGGGCATCCCAATCCCAATTTCTAGAATGTACAATGTGTTGAGTCGACTTTCCGAGAGCTGCAACGGAGCCTCCAGAGGCCCTAAAGGAGCCGAAGAGTTCTAGCCAATCAGAGCATGATGGAGCTTTCTAGAATATCAACGTGGTGTGCTACTATTGGTCAGTAGCATAATATGTCTTTTAGCGGATTGACCAAAATATGATGTTGATTTAACAAATGTTAACATCTATGAATATCCGTGTTTTTCTGTACAAAAATGAACCTTTGGAGTAAAGTGTTTTTTGCTTATTTCGCGCTTTTTCTCTCGAGTTCAGGTCGCTGCGTAGTTCTAGCTCGCGGGTTACCAGAATAGCTTAGGAACCGAATAAAGCGTCCAAATTAACAAGACTTATCACAATGTACAGTCAAATTTAATGATCTAACAATCCTCTCAACGCCTTCAATTAAATCTAACGAGGAGGATTTATTTTTCAGGAGGGAAAGCTGATATGAAGAGCCAGTCAGGAGTAGCCTATTGAGTAGGTCAATAGATGACAATCCTGAAGTGACCTAAAGTACAAGTGCATTTCACTGGTAAAAAAGTCGTATTAATTTCCTTAAAATCAGTATCGTATATTTATGAATGAGTATTTGTGCATTTTATTCCGTAGCCCAAGTAGCTCAAGTAGTCAGTTGGGGGTATTAGCGCGTAATACATCGTGTATCAGTATCCGATTTTGGACACCGCCCGTCACAACAGACTGCATGATACAACAAAGGAGCTAGCAGAGCGATGTACAGTAAACCAGAACGACCAGTCAAAGATGAAAAAGGAAAACCAATCACTGGTTTAAGGCTAGCGAAACAGGTGGGTAGGCAAATTTTAAGAGCTGTTGAATGAAACAAAGTTATTGAACTCACCGAATATCAAAGCAAAGCAACACAACAAACCTCCTCATAGATGATACCACACGTATAGTAGATAAAACCACCAAGACCACCAGATGGACCAAGGATGACAAAGCAGGACGACCAAACAACATACTAGCTGAGGCCTTAGACTCACATACGGCGGGAACTATGAAGATGTTGCACATTCTTTTACGAAAGATCTGACAGGAAGAACAAATGCCAACAGGTTTGTCGAACCGAATGAAAGATCCAGTAGATGGTCAATATCAAGATTAACAAGCTGGCTTTCGTAAGGATGAATCATATACCGGCCAAATCGCGACACAGCGAATCGTTTTTGAACAACCAATTGAATGGAACTCATCACTATACACCCAAATCATAAGAAAGTATTCAAAAGCGTGCGTCAAAAACCCTAAGGAGTTTCCCTCGACATAATGGAATACGTGGGAAAATAGTCACTATCATATGAAACTAATGAAGGACTGAGCTGAAAAGTTGTGCATGGAGAGGAGCTCGCAGATGCATTCTAAGTGAAGACTGGTGTCAATAAAGACTGACTATTATAGCCTTTTCTGTTTCCACCGGCTGTTGCACGGATTATTAAGAACTCCATATCTCAAGGAAAGCTCTGGATACAGTGGAAACCTCGGACGCAGCTAAGTGATTGAAACTTGACACATAATCTAGTTCTTTTATCCCATACGCAAAAACAAATGCAGGTGAAGACAGCCAGTGTTGCAGCTACTTTTACAGCAGTATGTCTGAGCATCCACAAAAGGAAGTTGAATATTCTATAGTACAAAACAGAGAGCACCAATCAAGGCATACTTAAGGAAGTACTGGACGACTTTTAAGCATTCATGTGTCTTTTGATTGTTTGCTTTTAAATTTAATATAACGAAACCAAGTTCATTTGAAGTTAAATGAGTAAAGAATATGTGATGATTTCGCTTATGTATGGATTCAGTCGCTGCCTTGCCATGTCTTAATTGTCTTTATTCATTTGTAAAATTAATTCTAATGCGTTAATTTGGTGATTGTTATATTTTATTTAGCTATTCGTTTTTATTCGATAGGCCAATTTTTCTTTCGTGTCAATAGTGGACGGGATGACTGAGAGCAACTCTAATAACAATAATAATGTTGATACTGGTTTACAAATGGTGTCGTATTGGCAATCTTTTCAGATTGATAGAAATAAGTTATTAGAATGTTTATGTAATAGTGCAAAGTGAAAAGATATTTTAACAATCCTTTTGATATAGATAAATGAACACAAAACTACTCATTTTATTTTGAGCGCTAAAGTATTATTTATTCCTTTCAAAAGTAACCAGTAAATAATATATGCTTTTATATATACGTTTGTACCTGATGTTTATATTCCTGATTTAACAAAAGTATAAATTATTTTTTAACACAAATTTGTTGTTTTTATAGTTTTGGGGAAATAGTTTATTTCGCAGTTAGATCTAGTAGCATTAAATGTTGTTTGTATAGTCTTGTTCATTAAACCAGATGGTTATATTTTCTAGCTGATAAATAGTGACAAAAAATCTCGACAGTGCACTTCGTTGAAAAGTGTGCGAATAGTCCAGTTTAAATTGGTGGTTTTAGTTTCGGATACAATTACAGCATGGCTAGTCTGTATTATTCTTTATGGTGCATAGCTAGATAGGGTAAGATTCATATATGAGAATCCTTAAATCCAAGCTCTCGTGCTTACTAAGTGTGTATCTTGTTTTCCTTTACGTCACCGCAATTTTCGCAGAAACAAAAGGTTAGAAATTCGACTTAGCTGAAATTACCATTTGTGTTAAGTGTGAGCACTAATAGAATATGAAGCGTAGTCAGAGTTCACGCTTGGCATTAGTGGGATTTTGGGAACCCTGTAGTCAAGTGTTTATGCTTATTCACGTCTACAAATTGTTTCATAGCTGAAATCAAGTGATTTACTCTATGGTAGAAGTTGAATTCTGGAGACCATTTGTAATGATGTAATATTGTTCACATATTTCACTTGTTCTGAATTAAAATGTTTCCAGTTTCCATTTGTGAATCTGCGACTTCTCAAGTTTTTATTTCTAAAGTAATGTAATTACAGCTTACGGCACTTAGCATTCTGTTGGAATATTCAGGGAAATATCCCAAAAATTATCCTGTTAAGCCTAATGCTATCCTTGGACATGAAATGGTATCATCTTACTGGTCAATATTTATTTAACGTGTTATTTTCCTGTTGGCCATTATTGTACAATGTTATCTATCTTATGGTACGTTGTGGACTGCTTGATTGGTATATAAACAAAGTATGTTTGAAATATAATGATTCATAAATCCGAGGCTGAGACTTGTGTTCTGGACTCAATTGACTGGGCTAGACAGGGAAGCGAGACCAATCAGAACCCTAGGTCGTTCTACGTGTTTGCGCGTCTTTGGTCCGATCAATAATTCGCTACCCCTTAATCAGGAGCATTTATTTTTCACATCATAACACATTCACCTTGACAAACCGAGTAGAAGTACGCCTTAGTTAGCAAATGTAGAATACGGTTGTGGAGTCTTACTTGTCATAGGAGCATGATTGAATATTCAACACGATGATCCCCTACCTTAGCAAGGATGAGACAATGTAGTCCACTTATTCTCATACACTCTCAAGTTTATGACCTTTTCCAGGGAAGTCCTGCTGATTATCATTACAGAAGTGGAAATTTGGAGTTTAATCTAGAATGGCCGAAGTGGACGACTACATGTGCTGGAAGACCCTAATCCAAACCAATGACATACACGGACCATAGGATATTGAAAGAATGCCATGTGCTACTATGAGACCTTATTTCCCGATGATACCTCATTTGATTGGACCTTTGGGTTGAAGACACAAGAAGATTCGTTATTGATGTTTGGTGCACTGTGGTATTTGTACTAACTTCTTTTTATTTGAACACTAGATATTGGTTAAAGGAGGCGCCGAATACATATGCGCCACACAAATCTCATTTGATTTGTGCAAGGGCTGTGATGCTGCCCGGGTGCCCAAACCGAGACAGGTGGTTTCCTTAGGGGGCCACACTCAGAGCCTTAGACCTACAGGTCTGATCCACAAGGTAGTGAAGCAACGCAAGGATATGCAGTCCCATGATAGCCGGTGACCAATAATTGGTCCATACGCCGTTTGTTCACTCAGGATACTGGAGCCCATGTGCACCGTTGATTTGGAATCAGGATTTTTCAACTCCCCTAGGCTGACCCTTCGTGTCCACCGACCCGGTTAAGGTGTCGGACATCCACATTTCGTCCTCTCAATTTCGTAAACACCCTCGCCGCGTAAGACTGAGTAGTAATTCACTGGCAGAGGCTATGTACGCGTGAGCATTTCGAGAGAGTGAGCGGACTCTCCCCACTCTCGGCCGTACCAGGGTATTTGTGGTCACCGCATCTTAGCCTGGTCGAACCAAGGACCTTTCGCGTGAGGTGAACATGATAATCACTACCAACTCCAAATATAATACGTTCCTACCTTAAATTGCACTATTTTGGGAATTCTCTGGAGCACATTAATTCGAATACTCCTAGTTATCATATGTACATATTCGATAATCTAGTGAAGTACTACAGCTTCATACAGATAATTAAAAATGTTTGTTTTACTTAGCATTAGATCCTGCGATCGATATAGCACTAAGTACCAAAGCTGAGAAAGAACCCATTGACAAGTTATCCCTTTACACTTGTTTTATACTCTGTTGAGATTAAGCGAAAGTAAACAGCGTGGAGAGCGATCCCTTTTCGTTATCTCTACCTACGCCCCGACTGTTGTTCGTATGCAGTAAATGAGCAATACTGTTATAGAATGAAGAAACGTATCAACAAAACGTGCCTCAAAAATAGTGACCCGACAGCTGGGAGAGCTAGACAATCCAGTTAACTAGAAACATGAGCGAGGAGTTTGAATGACGAATAGTGACTTGTTGGTTGCAGGTTGAATATTAAGAATTGTCTGCTTCAATTATGCAAATAACCTATTTCTCACAAATACCAACGTTCCGCACAGCGACCTCACTTGGCAATTTACTTCCGAATTTCAAGTATACATTCATATAGGCCGCACTGCAAACAAATGTGTACAAGGTTGCGGTTAGAGTATTGCCCAGTGGCGACCCTATCGTTGTTCCTTACATTACTCATAAAAAGAGTATGTTGTTCTTAGCCAAATGAGTTCTAGCTGATTTGTATTTTTCATTATGAAGTATAGATAAGTAGTGTTTTTGTCTAAAAAAAATTTACTTGTTAATATGTTTTTTTTAATGTTTCACAATGTAATCATCTTTCTGAAGCGTTTCTTAGTGCACCAAATGTTTTTTGCGTACAATACTGGTTGATTCTCAACTATCGTTAACCGAAGTTTTAGGACATAAATTGTTTGAAATGAATACACATTTGATAGAGCAAAATGGGATATGTAAAGATAAACAATGATCGGAATTAAATACTTCATAAAATTAATAATTTATATGGACTTGATTGCTTTATTTTCTGACGTTTTGATTATTGAGATGTGTAAATCGAGAGTGCGATTCAACCTGTACAAATTAAACTGAGATAATCATAGCAAGAATTAATATTGACGGTGGTAATTTGAAGTTAACAATATTTTAGCATATATATATATCCTTCAGCTACTACTGGTGACTAATATTTGGGAACATTCGAATACGTTAAACAAACAACAACAGATAACATGGTCAACGCAAATAAAGTATGACCAACTGGAAAGCAACAAACAAACCAAGAAAAAATCAAACAATGAAATGAAGGAAGTGAATCAAAAAATTACAAAATCGTTATCTTGACTGTTATTGGTATAATCAACCAACCAAAGAAACAAGAAATGTAAAAATAATATTGGGACAGTAACTGTTGCGGAATTGAAAGAAATTAGTTTGTAAGTGGAATATTAACGAATATATTAGAACGAATGCAAGGGAAATAATCGAAGTATTGTATTTTAAAAATGGGAATTTTGAAAGGGATAGGTATGCTCAGAAAGTATCCGAATCTGTAGAAAAAAGACATACATGAGCTCAGAAGCAACTTGTTGGACGACGTAGTAGGTCGATAGATTCATGTTCATATAAAGGTTATAAGTATGGCCTCTTATTTCCAAGATTGTAACATGGCTGAACAAAAGGCAGCAAGTACACATACAAGCATAACTCAATATATTACACACAATACAGAATCTTTAAAAACATTTAAGGAGATGAAAACAAAGTATGTGTTGATAAATAAAGCTGAATATTGACAGCACTATACAACAATAGTATAAAAAACTATGGATGATACACAAAAATCAGATATTTTTGCGTAACTACACCTATTTAAATCAATATCAACATTATGGAGATAATCCGATTTGTTCATAGGTAATAGTAAAGCAAAGGCGCTTTAAAAGGAATGCTTTTGAATGTAGGGTGCGTTTGTTAACCTTTCTTCTGTGTAAAAATACTATTTGCTAGAGAATAATAATGAACAGAAACAAGCATTAAAAAAATCGCAATAAAAACGTAAGGTTTGGTTGGCAAAGAACAACAATAATAAAACAGCCCTAAAATGTTACTTTAAGTGTTGAGAGATTTGAACCTCCGAATTGTTTCTTTAATGTTTCATAAAAAACAAACAAGGAAAGCATCAAGTGAGTTTTGTTTTCTTTTTTTGCTTTAATCTGGACTGAAGAGTCGAGGATGACGACGAGGAAAAAGAGGACATACTATCTTCTGATGATGATGTTGACGATGAAGACAATGATGTAGAAGTGGATGACAAGGAGGATTCACTAGAATCGGATAGTTGTTCTTCACTTTTATCACAATTGGATAGGATTTCCAGCTGAAAATAAGAATAAAATACGCCAAAAAATACGATACGCATTGTATTACAATTAATATAAGCGTGAAAAGTGTGACAAGAAGAAAAATATCATTATTTCTGTGACGTCGAAGGAATAGTAAGTGAAAAGTACCATGTAGTTCAATTAAACGAATTCGACTGATGTCTCTATGTTGAGATGACTGATAAAACTAATTAAATGGTCAAACTACGTAATAGAATGTGGTTCAAACTACTGATGTAGATTTGAATATTTCAATAACTGAACCACAAAATTCATGTCTGATCAAGAGTATACAGAAGTGTGATTACTGAGAGTTATAGTAGTAAGTACGCCTAATATCTACACTTCACGGAGAAATAATTAAATGTACACGATCAACAAAAGAGGCTATAAAAAGCTTGTTAAATTATTAGACGAGGACCAACAAAATGAAAAAAACAGTATATGAAATATGAACGTTTAAAATATCATGCTTAGAAGTCAAACCGTTAGCTAAATTACGGAAAAAAACATACAATTGAATAAAATGAGAAATGCGTTTTTACAAAATAACGTGAATAAAAGATTATATACCTTTTGGCCGTTTCTAATGGAACTCTCCTTGGTTGCTAAATCAATTTGACGCATTTTGAAACTCTGGCATTCAGACAAGTGTTTTTTACTTGTTCGTTGTTCTTCCGAATGTGGCTTGTGAGTTTGACTTTCATTTGAATGACTGGTTTTGGAAGGTAATGACTTAGATTTCGAATTCTTCACTCGCGAAGTGTGATGATTACCACCTGAAGCAAAGTGATGTGATACATGTTTCATTTCATATTTACTGGCGAATTCCGAACGTTTAGAATCGTGCTTAGTTTTCCTATTCGTAATGGAATGCTTCCCCGGACGAGATGTATTTGTACTATTCATCATAGCAGACGGTAGTGGAGCAAGAGTGCGAGTTGGACCTGTGGACTGCTTTGAATTTGTCGAACGACAGTGATGAGAAAGAGATTTAGCATGACCAATAACTCCCAAATTTTGAAAGTTGGATTTTTTCGTTTTAGTATTTTTTTGCATATAAGATTGAGAAGTTGATTGTTTTTTTGTTTGATTAGCATAATTCGAAACACTAGGTTGTTTTACTTTTGAAATCATAGCTATCTTATTATTCTTTCTAACACAGCTATCCACAGAGTTAGTTTCTGAGTTGGCATCAGAATCTAACGATTCGAAATGCGCATGGTGAGTTTGATTTTGAAAACTAGGTTTATTCTACAAAGAGGAGAACAATTGGAGGAATGTTATTTTACAGAGAAGATTTTTTCTTACAAATATTTAAGTTGTGATATGATGGGCAGTCATAATTAAGCAAGATAATCAGGTCTTGATATCATAGGTCATTAAACGATCTAAAAAAATGAATCACGTAATCAATCAACTTTTCATATTTTCATAACATTTAAATCGGGTGAAATATTTTGTGTGAATATTTTTACATACGACTCAAATGTTTTACTGACAGATTATTCTGATATCTCTTTATTGTGGACCTTGCATCAACAATTCGAATTTGTGAGTAATTGTCACTTAGTCACATTTAGTTCATGCAACCGATGGCAATGAATACATATCATACAAATTTTCCTCCGTTATAATTATGACGTGTAATATCAATTACATGATTCTTTATTTTCGAAGAAATCAAAGCTAAAATGAAATATTAATTTTTCGGCATATTAACGAGATATTCAGGAATGAATGTATTTACTTTATCATGACCGATTAGTGATTTGAATTAACCCCTCAATGAACTGAGAAACTAGTACTTGAGGTTAACATAATGGTTTCGCTGTATAGGAAAGAAGTTTTAAATACACCAGTGACAAAACACGACATCAAAAAGTGAAGGACATTTAGCCATACTAGGAAACTAAACACCGGATTTCAGAATGTACTGAATAGTACTGTGTTTGCGTAACGTAAATAGCCGCAAATTAAAATAAATACAAAAATGTATCAAACAACATCTTTAACATAGAAAAATTAATCGTTTTAAAAGAGTTTTCAGAATATGTAGATCAACATAGAAACTAGGATGTTAACATCTCATATCTTGAGATAGAGTAAATGAAACCATGAATAATGTAAACGAATAACTGCGAGAAATAAGATGAAATTATAGGAAATTTAATGCAGTATAATAACGTAGTAATGTAAACCTAGCTAAAACAGCAATAAATTGCATAACAAATGTAAAGGCGGAAATACTGTTGTAAAATAATACTTACCGGCGAATCTGGACTTGACTGCAATAGAGATTGGTGACCACGTGAACTACCAATTTTCTGTGACTTTCTAAGATTATTTAACTCGACTGAATCAGAGCTGGTGGAATAGCTGGAATGTTCTGATAGCCGTCTATGCTTTTTGATGGACTTTGAAATTAAACATTGAGATTGTAAGTCAACCGAATGTTTTTCTTTATTTTTCATTCCAGTGTCGCCTACGGCCTCAATGGAAGGATCTGATAAAGATGATTTTGAAGACTGTCGTTTTACAATTTTATGTTTTCCAAGCTGCTTACCAGATTTCCCAATTGTCTGATTAAAAGAGCTATCAAGACTCTGTTTAACAGATGGTAAACATTCCGCAGAATTTGACTTGCTACGTTTGGATATAGTTGACGGATTGCATAAGGTTGTAGAGCATTCTCCACTTTCCACTTCCGCCTGACAATCTTCTGTAAAATACAGTATTCAATTGTTGACTGACTGAGAGGGCAAATATATGTGGGAAAATGAAGAATCTTATGAAATGGTAAAAATCAGTAACATAATAGAATGAAGTAACCGTTTGGCGAAATAATTTGAATGAAACTATTTTTACACCTTAAGATATAGAAAAAAGTCCGTAGAGTTTTATTAGTGAGAATCTCTTATGGATTCAAGAGGTTTGAAATACACAGTTTAGTACAATGTTTTGTAAATGTGCTGCGTCACCGACAATTCTAAATGCAACAGGCAGTATAATGTAAATCCTCTGAGATACAGACGAAGTAATGACCAAAATAAATAACAAGCACCTCATTGGAAGAAACCCTATCGGTGATAACATAGCGCTAGTATTAAAAGTAGAATGATAAAATGTGTACACAATGATGATCGTCAGGAACGACAGCAAGATATGGAAAAATCAAGAGCAGTTTTACTGGTCTCCAGTTACTCTCCGGTCACTCGATATTCCGAAACAACCTAAAATGGTAACAGACAAAAGATCAGAGACTCTTTGAGAAGTTGGAAAAAATCATGTGATTGATTTACATCACTGATCATCCCGATTCTTAGAAACGCACAGAAATCCCCGAGTGGTAACCATAGAGGAATCTGTATGCCCAGCAGTGCCAAAATATTAGCCCTCAAGGTCGTTAGACACTAAAACAGAGCTCGTAAACACCAAACCCTTCACAAGCGAACATTTTTTAAATGTTTTCTAAAATAAGTACTTTAATCTGAATATATTCAGACTAATATTCATACTTAACTCAATCCACTTTCTACCCATTCTTATAATTTCTAATTTACTTCTATCGCAATTCAATACGTTATTACATTGGATGGTGTCTGCCACATCTGGAACTTGAATTTCTGCTATGCCGCGTACAATTTGAGAACTCAAACGCTTGAACCCTCCAAATCGCAAGTTAGAAGACAGAAGAAAAATGGAAAGGAATCCTATTCGAACCAGTCAAATATGGTACAAAACACTCAGGTATTTATAGTTTTTAGTAAAAACGAAATCATTACAATCATCCAATCAGCATGCAGCGGTTTTTAGCATTTGTCCAATCGGAGAGCTACACGGTGATTGTATGGAATGTCTTCGGCCCTTCTAGAGCTTCCTTGAGTCCACCGGGAGCCTTCCCCCAGTAGCCTTCTTGGTAATCTGAATACATGTCTAACACATTTACATTTCATTATTTCACTGTTTGCATAGGTTTCTGATCATTGTCAGAATATAAATGCTAATACTGCTTCGAATCCCTTAATATGAGCAGCACACACGGATGCTAATGCTAATTTGACTCTTTTGCTATTTATTTAATAAGTTTTATCTTTTTATGCTGCGATCTATTGGACATTTATCCCGAGATTTACGTTGACGATGATTAACGTAGGCATAAAACAACAATACTGTGAACATAAAGCTTAGCACCGAATAAATACACGAAATCGGTTTACACAGACGTTATTTAGAGTAGCATAATTCTTTAAGAAATATCAAGTTAACGTACTCAATATATGCTCATATCAAGGCAAATATAAAAGAAGTAGTAAAATTACAACATTTAATTTTAATAACACTTGGTGTTTGCAGCTGACGTATCCATACAAAAATCAAGCAAATACGAAGATCCAAAAAGACTGATAGTATAACCTCATCTAAATTATGTAGCTCTAAAAGAGTTAGGTTTATTAGATTGCAATGCATGACAAAGGATTACTGATATACTATCTAGCAATAACAGAAATAGGTAGGGATAGTGATTTTCCTTGGAATAACAACTGAACCACTATTGATCGTATTTTTTCAAATTAACAGATATCAAAAAATGACGAAATCTTATTCATGAGATGACCAAGAATATCTTTATCTCAGTGTAAGGAAGTTGGATGTATTGTATTCTTCGTCAATCCAGCTCATAGAACACTACAGCTTCTTCATTAGTATAATTCAGAGGAAAAATCTGTTCTGTTCTCCTTAGATATTCTCAGTTTGGTCATAACTTAAGACCTGCCATTTCGTTTGTATTCTTACATGAACATCTGACTTTCACAATATAAAACAAAAAGTGCTTGTGTAAATCTACGTAACACAGATCAAACACAAACACCAAACGAAAACTTACGGAACGCCGGCAAACATAGCTTCTTCCATAGGAGGACTATCTGACTCACTTAAGTTGCTTGCTATTTCTATGAGTACAATTTCCACAACATTGATCAGGTGATAAAGGAACTGTGTATTTGTTGGTTTCATTTGATTTTCCGCTTGTCCAGTGCTAGTCAGTGTTCCAGGAACAGATAAACATATTTTATGCACAAGATCCATTAAAAAACCAACGTAGGGGCGAACAAGATTAGGTTTACTATAACTGACCAGATGTAAACAAGCCATAAGACCATGCATATTCGACAGAAAAGAAAGCGACTGTGACGATTTCCGAGATTCCATTGGGTGACTTTGCTTTATCAGTTGTTTAGAACTTGGGACCAGTAAAGGACCTACAAGAGCCAGGAATGGTAAACAAGTATGTACAATATTAAATCAATTAAAGTCCTAAAAATGGACGTAAATTTTCTTTTTACTGAGTCATTTACAAAACCTCTTCAGTGCAATACGGACCAGAAAGCACCCGGTGTATTGTGAAAAGGCGGAGAAAGGAAATTTTTTCTATGATTTTTCTTACTGTTATATGAGATTTTATATATCCGCGATTGGAAGCTAACGTTTAACGTATTAATTATTGCTATATATCTTGCTGTTAATAAATTACAGTTAATTCACTTGTGTGGATTTTTTGAAAATCACTTATTTAAAATTCATAATTTTCGGTGTTATACTCAGGTAAGCTAAATATAAAATCATGTGCGTTGATGGTCTAAAATGAGAGGTATTTGTGTGATTTTTCAGAATTTTTTATTGACGGATTAGGAATGGGGGGTTCCTGTGAGCTAACAATGGTTGTATATACAACAATTGAGTGAACAGACAATGTTACCGTAGGTAGGCAAAAAAATGTTGATAATGTATTGATCTTGCCTATGACACAAGTAGACAACTGATTTTGTTACTGGGGTAACTCATTACAAAATTTTGGAAGTGCAAAATTTGTTTATTATGGCCCTGCCTTCTTATATTTCTCCAGCTGGAGCAGTGGCTGTATATGAAGCAGTTAGGTCGCAAAGCGTGAATGAGAAATAAAAGGTTAAGGCATATTACGATATTTCAATTAGTTACAAGCGAAAAGCAACTATGACGATAACGTACACAAACAGCTAATAAAGCCAAAAGGACAGGCTTATATTTACATGATGTCAATTAACCTTTTAGTTCACAATGAATAAGACTAGGTACAATGATGCTAGAAGTGTATTTGAGTGAGTGACACTTTCCTTGCGACTACACACTGTAATGATAATTCTTCTGGAAGAATTTACTGTTACTGGTCTCCATTATGCAAGAGCGTAAAGAGTTTCCAATAGATAACTGATTACGCTTGCAAATACACAACCTGTACGTGAATATTTATCATTTGTTATGCAGTTATGACTTAATACTTTTAAAACAGTATCTTCTTTTCCACTTTCATGGTCGAAATTTCACAATCATTTTTTATGCAAGTACTACATAAGCTAAATAACTTACTCTTGACACTGAGGAAAAGCTAAAATGTCTTAAACAATTGAAAAATCCCTGTTAATTAGAATGGTGTTATATCCGGTGAAGATTAAATTACAGGTAACTTCCAAGGACTATTCATGGACTAATATTCCATAAATATTCTTATTGTATAACTACTCAACAATTACACTATGTATATTTATATTCCTTTTATGATAAGCTTTATTTTGACCTATAATTTATTATTGTACGATTTACGGTTCTTAAGTTATGTTCAGTTTATTAACTACTGCCTCCCACATTCACAGCCACTTTTTGGGCTTATTTGTGTACAATTATTATTTCCTATTTTATGGTACGTTGCGGTCTGTCTGATTGATATATAAACCAAGTATGCCTGAAATAAACGATTTGGTTCGATTCGATTCATATTACGGAAGCTGATATTGTGTTCTGGACTCAAGTGGAAGGGCTCGGAGGACACAGAACCAATAAGGACGCTAAACTGCCCACACCGGTTGAACGTCATTGGTTGGCCTAGTGTGAAGATTCGTATAAGTCGTATTCTGATTGGTAGATAAGACGTGTGATAGAAAAGCCAGACACCCAAAGTCATAACACATGGTAATAATAATATATTGAGAAAGTATATCAAATAAACCAAAGATTATGACAACTACATTTATTAAGCTATAGGACCAGATCTAATATTAAAATATCACTTGTCACTTGTCGTCTGAAATATATGATATTTACGTATGCAACTTTTTGCGAGAACAGTTTTGTAAAACGGATTACCGAGATGCTTCACTGATTAAAGTTTTTTTGGAGTTTGATCTTTTTCGTACGAAGGTTATGGAGTTGAACCAAAGAAGTATATTACCGAACAATGTAATCAGATAGGCAACATGGTGATCAACAACAGATTTCCATTATTATTATTATTACAGGGTAACTGAGACTTTGTTCAATATTTCGATCGGTAATCACATATCATATTAGTTGCACACATATCAATACTTCAAAGTTGACCAAAATAAATGCATGAGTCTATAACCAAATTCGTCATTCATTGGCGAGTATACAAACAGGATACATTTATCATTTATTAGTGTTATGAAAGTACAAAAATGGGGAAGCAAGAATTCGTAAACTATAATATATGAGACCACTGCAAATATATATATATATATATATATATATATATATATATATATGACGCACTCAAGCTTACCAATACGTCGTTTTATTAAAACAATCAGACGGCCAATAATCTGCTTGCACGCAGCATCAAACTGAGACCCTGCAGGATGTGGTTCCCCTGAAGATAGATCCTAAATGGAAACAGAAAGTTCTTAGAGTATTTTCTATGGTAATAAGAGACGTAACTGATTTCTACAAGGCGGGATGGAATTGTAACTATTTCAAATATGATTCATACTTACTTGAACAATGAACGTGTTCAACAGGTCAAAGTTATTCGGTCTAAGAGTAACAGTCACTGATGCTAAACTTATGATACGCCTATCAAGAACCTTTGAGAAACGAGAATGTGATTTCGATATTGGAGTCAGCCATAGTTCTTGGAAGGCTTCAGTAATCAATTTCTTTAAAAAAGAAAAGAAAATTAACAGAACGTTAGCAGAGAATAAAAGCATTCTAGGAAAAATATTTTAGGCCATTTTGTGAGAGAATAAATCTAGAGGCGAATGTATGTAATGAAATCACAATAAATTACTCCACTGAGTGATGATTAGTTGAGCGATTACATGAAATAAAGCACTTATAGGGAGAGATTAAAAAACCCTTCGAAAATATTACAGTAGTTGAAATATTAATCCATCTAATGGTCCAACTACGGACAAATCAGTGGAGCATTTGATTAATGACTTCATTTCATTTATTTGCATCCAACAACGAAGTAGTTGTTTGGTAGTTAAAGCACTCACGTTTTAACGACTGAGTTGCGGATTTGAATCCCACCTAAAGTACTTCAGTTTTAGTAAATACGGTAGTATCACTTAAATTTATATGGAAGATGTTACTTATAGCCTTATGTATAAAACCACAGTTGGCGAATATCATGTTACAAAAAAGGTAATTGAGGTATATATATATACGGAATAAAAGACATACTTGAATGCTGTTTTCATCGTGAAGTCGGCGAATAAGTTTCAGACAAATATCTGTACACATCTGATTTCCAATCAAAGAGGAATTGTGTCCATCAGAACCAGAATTTGAAGAATCTAAAAATTTATTCCAATCATTAAGTAGTAGATCTCGAAAGCACCGAATAACTCGTTTTCTTACACTGACACCCTTGTCCAAGACACGTTCCACAATAACAGAGTAGTATTCAGCTAAGGATTGTGGACGCAATGTCAAATATCGACTGATCAAGTCGACAGCTGCTTCGCGAACGGCTGTGGAGTTGTCCAATAAGCGTGCGCGAACAATGTTGGAGATATCGAAAATCGGACTCGATGAAATCGTGCTTTTATTTTTAGTATCTTTATTTATAGACATCAACTTCGGATCAGCATCAATAACTAAAGCAAGACAACGCAACGCTTTCGACCGCATAGGTACTGACGACTCCCCGGCTAACTAAAAGTGGAAAATTATATGCAGCACACTAAGAAATGAAGAGAAACTTAAACTTTTTAAGTTTCGTAAAAATATTTTAGCATAACAGAACTAGCCACCACATCCATACAATAAAGAATAATCCAATCAAAATTAAAAATCAACATAACAATATCTTTAAAGTGCATCTAATAAAAAGTTCACTATTAAACATTAGATATTTTGAAACAATTTTTATCAAGATCCAAAGTCAACAGAAGAAACTTTAAAAAATACATAGAACGAATTTGTTATATTGTCCCGGTTTAAGATTTCTATGGCGTACAGCAACAACCACAGGATCGTCAGATCTCGCGGGTAGAACTATAATCCTATTGAAACTTGACGTTCTACATTTCCGAGTTCAGTCACGATATTCAACTGTCTTCAATTTTCTAATTTTAATGCAAATGTCATAATCGATTACAAAGCTTAATGAAATATGTGAGCACAAAGGTTAAATGTTACCTTAACAGAAGACTAGGCGTTCAGAAAAACGGGAAGGTCCACTATAGAGGGACATTAGGCCACACATTCAGTTTAAAGGCCAGTTATTGCACAAATACCAAAAGCAAGTTGTGCATCAGATGAACGTAAAACGAACTACCAATGTCGACTACTCAGTGATTATTTTCCTTAAACGTTGACTTTCAAGAACATCTCTTACACATTTTACTGTAAGAGCAGCGATATTGAGAATATAACAAATTTAGTAAACTGAAAGCAATCAAAATCGAACTGTATTTAGGAAATAATGAACTAGGAAAATTTCATTGAGGTTATCTTTTAAAGAAAGAATTAACATTTAATAACAAAATCACGATAACCTGAACTCTTTATAGAACCGTCAAAAGTTAAATTAATTAATAAGATGAGTTTTTGCTGAATTAACGATCTACAATTAATTCATTACCTAGGTATACCTAGGTTTGGAGTCATGCACTGTTGCACGAAGAATGATGATACTACTCAGTTGCTTAAACGAATTACGTGAGGCCAGAGTTCAACTCCAAAACCGGTAATTGAAAATTAAAATTTTCAACGATTAAGGGGATATTCCATACTATTATTTAATTAACTAACCACGAAGATAATGAGGGCAGTTTTCACGCACATTGATCAAATAACACGATGACAGTGACTAAGTACATGGATAAAGTAAAAAAGATTAAGACGGCGGTTAGAATACGAATTAGTCTATAGGTGGTTAAATTTGATTAAGAGTTACCGCAGAAACTACCAGTTTATCAGATGGAACTTATGCAATATAATAGCTAATTCAAATGCATCAAAATCAAACTTTCGTACACTTCTAAGATGAAAAACGGTAGGCAAGAGCTACTCTGAATTTATACTTTTATATACTTATACTTACTTTACAAATGAAACCGTAAAGCACGTCGAAATTCGGCAAAACCGCATGGGCGCCAAGGAGATAAACCGCAGAAATATGAGCATGGGCAACTAGACGAAATCGCATGTTACTGCATAATTTTGGCATGTGAGTATATGCGATAAAACGTTGGGATGACATGGACTGAGCTAGAAATGAACCTCCCCACCCCATGCCCGAACAACATATACAGTTTGCACGACTTCGTGAAGACAAATGCTGCGAAGAATTAGGGCATCCCATACAAGCTGCAGAGAGTGATGATATGTTTTGCTTAGCAAACGGAAAACCAAGTCCAGATACTGGCGAGTTTAAATGTGTGAGAGAAAGTTCAGCTAGTAATTGATGCCGAAGTTTTTCCACACAAGCTTTGTTTTTCGTAGAATTGGAGGAATAATCTTTCGCACTCCCGGTAGGGATGTCTAAATTTGTGACCGGGACGTTTCTGTTACAATTATGAAGCCATGCAGCAAGATGAAATCTGTGAGCAGTCTACAAATAGGCAAGTGTCAGCATTATATTTGCAGCATCAAAATACACTGAAAGGCTCTATTTAATTTTGATATCAAGATTTTAAACCATTTAAAAACCTAGTCGTCAGGTACTTCGGCATGAACCACGCTCTAAATGTGAGAGCAAATCATATTACCCGGCTAAGAAAACAGAAATAGGAGAGGCAGAAGTTGGACATCTTAACCACTAAGCCCCGCTCCATATAACCTAAACCTTAGTACTATATGGCATATCTGCACATAAATTAATGAAACTATCTTGTAAAAACAATTATATTTATCAAAGGATTTACTGCCGTAACATTATCTAATATCAAAGCAGGTTGAGCGACTAGCATAAACAATAATCAATATATTAAAAAGACTTCAATCCAAACAGTTAATTAACAACAGCAGTTACTCCCACCATGACGTAATGGCTTTGATACTTTCAAAGAATCACTACTACTAGGTTTCGAACTAAGGCAGACATCCTTTGAATCAATAATATGGAAACTTTTACATCGTCATTGTTTTCCTCTAAATGAGGATATTACTACCCAGATGAACGTATCGAAGTACAAGGAAGAAACTCGAATCGAACCACATGTTAGCTTAGCCATTGAAGGTGTGCCGTAATTGCAGTATGAGTGGTAGCATGTTGTAGATCGTTTAAAGTAATGATACATAAATTAAGATGTCACTTATTAACCCACGAACTGAGACATTCTGTTTACTAAAAGTCACTTTGTGCTACTTATATAAAAAGAAGCAGATAGGATCGTAAGCCAGATAAATCTTTGTCAATACTGTTTAACAATCACTAATATTTAAAATGACAAATACATTTCTCTCCGATTTTACCATGAAGAATAGAATGTTGAGGAATAATCTGAAAGGCAAAATAAACTTACCAGAAGAAGAAAATCGTAGTATTTCGAACAAAGATCTGGCAAAAAAATCATATTTTTATCCAAATTTAACCGTTCACAAACTTCTGAAAAATTAGAGTCATCGTTTTTATTACTCATTTGAAGGATATCATAGAACGAAAAATACCAGTGGTGAATTATTGGGATTGGAGATGATAATAAACCAATTAAACGTGTTTGACATTTATTCGTTTTCATGCAATTATCTTTACCGTCCTCCAAGTCAGAATGATTTTTATTTTGAATGAATAATGAGGATGGTAAATCTAGGCTATATACTTTAGCTCCACGTTTTAGACCAACAATCAATGACGCAAGGGTATCAACAGCTAGAAGTTTACCACATAATTCAGTATTACGAGAACGTGAAGTGGTAGGATTTGTCGAAATATTGGCGTTTTGATTTGTTTGATTAAGTTGTTGGATTAAAAGACTACTGAGTACATTGAGAAGAATAGCTGAGGCTGGCCATTCTATAGGTGCATGGAAAGTAACGCTTAATAAATCATTTGTAACTGTTTCCAATACAGATCGTATATCGTATTCAGCTTTCAAACTAACCCTGAAAATAGGAAAAAACGAAACAAAAAAATACAAGTTTAGAGTTCCATTTATAGATTTGAAGAAATAATACTAAAAATAGTTATTAGTGTGTTAGGGTTGACTTATAGATTTCTGACTCATCACATCACTTTAATAAGAATGAGTTCTTGTCACTCATTGAACGATGACTGTTGTTAAATATCTCAAACTTAATTCCCCCTGATGTCGAAATGTTAATTTTAAACTGAGACATGAACAGCACTTGAACACTGTTGAAAGCCCATAAATTTTGTACTAATCGAGATTCTGTACTGAAAACAACGTCGAAGGTTATTTATCTTAGTGTAAGTTTTCCCGTTAATCTCTTTTGGTCTTCTCGTGGTTTGCTGATATCGAAGAAAGTTGTTTGTTTGGTGATTTGCTAACTCTTGTGTATTACCTATTATTTTTTACCGTTTTCCATTATTCTTTTCTCCGATTTTGAGAAACGATTTTGCTGTGTTGCGGGGAATACTGAAGACAACCAGCACGGTGTGTGGTGATTCTTATTAACTGATTATGAATACGATTAAGGATGGACAATTAAAATCTTCCAAACTCCTGGTAACTGTGATACGATCAAATAGTAACCATCGTTTTCATTCATATCTTTTTCCCTGTATTTCTTATAGTGGAACGAGACGGAAATATATTAGAATCCATGCACTCGAGCAAAGGTGTAAAAGCTTTACGATACCTCATCTAGCAAATATACTAGGCGACGAACAGGCTATAACAGCTGAGCTAGTCAATGGAATATATTCTTAAACATGATGATAAATGAAAGTTGTACATATTATTATCTTGTTAGGGAACATTTCATTCAATTCCAGATAGTTTATTTACTCAACGAATGCACATGCAGATATCGATCTCTTTAGTTTTGTAAAAGAAACTTGTTGAAATACTATTTTCTCAGAATTCCATATTGTACTAAACATATAATATTAAATAAAGCCACTGATAATAAATTAGGATGACTGTGATCTATTAGTGATACCAGAACATTTATAATTATTGTGATTTTTCAAACAGTAACTTTCTGGAATTGGAAACGTGGTAATCCCATATAATTCACCCATATAACCGTTGGTTACCATAAAAAAATAAATAATATTCTGTTGCTTATTTTATCGTATTTTATGAAAAAACGATAAATACAAAATAAAACACGTTGAAGTCCTGGAAGTCTCCTGAAAAGATAATAGAACTCACAAACTTCACATCTGTACGATCAGATTTAGCACACGAGTTGTTTCAGAGAATTTTCACACATCTTAATAAAGCACATCGACCGGTCAGAGTATATTTCGGCACTTTGCAAGGACTGCAGTATTTTCTGGGTTTATAAACAGGTCACGTTATTTGCCTTTAAGAAAAGTGCCAAGAATACAAATGTGTATTCAAATACACCTGAAACTTGGAAACTCATTTCAAGAGGTATTCCACCTATTGGTGACATTCTGTATTTTAAGTCGGACGGTTAAAGGAATATACTCGGCGTTAATTGCACCTTCGTCAGTCAGTCAACAGACAACGTAGAACTTCGTACGTATGTACATCAGTTCGAGTTGCTGTTCCACATAAGCACAGAGATGCAGTTGTCGATCCAAATCCCGTAGTGGTAGAGGTAGTAAGAGTATAAGCAGTAATCAGAAAAACTAGGGTTTGAAGATGTTATTCAAGGAGTATAATACAGTGAAATAAATTTGGAAAGAGGAAAAAAAGGACATGAAGAATTCAGAAGATTAGAATTTGGGAGGACACGAAGAGTGGATGCACCTGCGCCATTGCAAACGATTTTGATCCATGTCATTTAAGGTCTCTAACCATCGGTTGCTATCGTCTCGCAGATCCCAACCAGGTAGTCTACACCTACCAACATGACGCAGTCTACTTGTCAGTGACTTCATGGACTTGTGCCATGTTTTGGTCTGGCCGCCCATAGCTTTCTTCCAACCTACTCCTACATCAGAAAACATCGCACGTCGGCCCCGACCGTTGTTGCTACCCCCGACCGTTGTTGCTACCTTGACGTGGTGGTCGGGCTTGCCTATCGTGATGAAGCAACCGAGCTATACTGGCTGGAACAACCGTTCCTCAAGGTCCTACCATGTCAGACAGGTCGGTTGAAGAGCGGTAAGACTAAATGCAACAAACCCAAGGTCCGAAGGTGAAGTCGTACTGCTGACTGTACAGAGGTGTGACAGCAGTAAGGTGTTTCCTTCAGACAACCAGCATGACAGCGATGCTGCCTTCCCACAAGGAGGGGTGGGGTTAGAAAAGGTCGACCCTAAAAATGCACACCTCACCTTACCTCACGGATTTCCGTCTCCGGCGGTAAGGCCCCTTGAAGAATGGAGCTAACACGTCGAAAACCTTCCACAAAAAGGCCGTGCGCGACCGGCCTCAAGCAGTTGTCCCTTGGGCACTGCGGTCACGCTCTCAGGTCACTGAGACCACCTCTAATCCAATTTCCTTTTCAGGTACCTCCAGAAGAACCCTTCCACGGTGTGGGCAACCGGAAAGTGATAACCGCCCTCATACCTCTAACAGCACTCAAGACCACTGTATTCATAATCAACCTTCCTCTTCAATTCCTATTATTCCTCCTACATCGACTTTCAACCCTAAACTTCCTCCTTCGGCTTCCTCCTCAAGTATCACCATAGCCAACGATTCTAGTGCTCAAAACTCTGTCCCAGGTCTACTGAAACCTCGCTCCAAACTACACATTGGAGCTTTCAACGTACGCACTCTATGTCAAATCGGTCAGCAGGCTTCCTTGGCTAAAACCCTAGAGTCTCTTTCCATTGATGTATGCTGTGTCTCCGAAACACGCATACAGGATCCCAGTGTGGTCATTCACTTGACCTCACCTCGGCAAAACGGAGAGCCAACGAGATACACCCTTCGTGTATCTGGTGACCCGATGGCCAGTTCTCGTGGACTGGCAGGTGTAGGCATAGCACTAAGCATGAGGGCCGAACAAGCACTGCTAGAGTGGATCCCCGTCAACAGTCGTCTATGTGCTGTTCGGCTGAACGGCTACGTAAGAACTCGGAAGGATAGGGACACACGTCGTTGCCTTTTTGTCGTTTCTGTCTACTCTCCCACCGACTGCAGCTCAGATGAAGTGAAAGATGAATTTTACAGAAAGCTGTCCGAACTTCTTCAGAAAGCTAAACGCTCAGACATAGTACTCGTAGCAGGTGATTTTAATGCTCAGATAGGAAGCTTAAACCAAACAGAAAGGCATTTAGGTGGATATTTTAGTATTCCGACACAGCGAACAGATAATGGTGATCGCCTGCTGCAGCTATGCTCAGACAATCGTTTATTGTTAGCAAACACAAATTTTAAGCATAAGGAAAGACATCGTCTAACATGGCGACCCCCTACACCAAACCAACGATGGACTCAAATAGACCATATTGCCATCAGTCATCGTTGGAGAGGGTCGGTAGAAGATTGTCGCTCATTCTGGAGTACCTGCTTGGACTCCGACCACGCCCTAATACGGGCACTCATCTGCTTGCGCCTCACTGGACGCAAAAAAGCCACATTAAAAAGACCCATTAGAACTGAGTTGAGTAACGAGAAAACCAAAAGTAGGTTCCAGGAACAACTGAGGTCACACTTAGGTAGTTCTGCAAACGAGGCTGACCCAGATGTTGCTTGGAAGGGCATACAATCAGCTGTGGAAACAGCAGTGACATCTATTAGTGACTTAAACCACAGAGTTGCAAGGAACCAGTGGATTTCTTCAAGGTCTGTCACACTGATGGATTCTCGCAAACTCGTCCCATCAGGTTCTGAATATGATGAAGAGCGAAAACAAATCAGATCTAGGTTAAGAAAAAGTATAAGGAACGACCGTGAGCAGTGGTGGGTAACGAAAGCAAAAGAGATGGAAAAGGCGGCGACTATAGGGAACACAAGACAGCTTTACAGACTAATAAAAGAAACTGGAATTAATAAGTCAAGTGTAAGTGAGATTATTTCGGAAAAAGATGATACTCTCATCTGCTCCCAGTCCAGACGTTTAGAACGATGGGCGGAACATTTTAGAGAACAGTTCAGCTGGCCTTCAGCTACTCTACAACTACCCTCCATTCCCAGACAATGTGAATGGAACATTGAAGTAGGTCCCCCAACTCTTGCTGAAGTTCAAAAGGCTATAGTTAATCTGAAACGAGGAAGGGCAGCTGGTCCAGATGGATTGGCTCCAGAGGTCTTTAAGGATGGTGGTCCAATTTTAGCGATTAGGTTGACTAACATTTTAGCTAAGATCTGGGAATTAGACTTTATCCCATCTGACTGGTCGCAATCACTTATCGTCCCAATATATAAGAAAGGGTCAAAATCATCCTGTGACAACCACAGAGGGATAAGTTTAACAAACATAGTATCTAAAATACTAGCCTCGATAATTATCAGACGCCTAACTAAGACTCGTGAACTACAAACTCGAGAGAATCAAGCTGGCTTCAGACCTGGTCGTGGCTGCATCGACCACATATTCACCATTCGTCAGGTTCTAGAACACAGGCATACTTATCGGCGTCCGACGATGGTGGTCTTTCTTGACTTAAAAGCAGCGTTTGACTCTGTAGACCGCGAGACTCTGTGGCAGTGTCTGTCATTGAAAGGCGTACCTCAGAAGTACATAAACCTTGTGAAGGCTCTTTACTCGAACACTACTAGTCGAGTCAGAGCTTATGGCGAACTGTCATCTACTTTTGCAACCTCAAGTGGTGTCCGTCAAGGCTGTCCACTTTCTCCATTTTTGTTTAACTTCATCATAGACCTATTGATGGAAATAACACTCTCGTCGACTGAATTCTCGGGTATTGATCTCCTTTCAGGAGGTCCACTTATCGACTTAGAATACGCAGATGATATAGTCCTGTTTGGTGAAGAGGCTGACAAAATGCAGTCTTCTGGTAGCACTGAGCAACAATGCCAGAATGTTTGGGATGCGCTTCTCTCCCTCTAAATGCAAGTTGTTGCTTCAGGACTGGTCTGCGTCAACACCTGAACTAAGGATAGGGAGTGAAGTAGTCGAACGCGTCGACAACTTCACTTATCTTGGAAGTCTGATCAGCCCTAATGGGTTGGTGTCTGACGAAATCTCAGCACGGATTCGAAAAGCTCGATTGGCTTTTGCCAACTTGCGCCACCTATGGCGAAGGCGAGATATCCATCTATCAATAAAAGGACGAGTATACTGCGCGGCAGTCCGTTCTGTCTTACTTTACGGCAGCGAAACATGGCCTTTAAGAGTAGAAGACACCCGTAAGCTACTAGTATTTGACCACAGATGCCTTAGAAATATTGCTGGCATCTGCTGGGATCACCGGGTAAGTAATAGTGAGGTTAGACGCAGGGTATTAGGTAATGATGGTAAATCAGTTGATGAGGTTATGAATCTTCATCGACTGAGATGGTTGGGCCACGTATTACGTATGCCTGAACACCGATTACCACGACGTGCAATGCTAACCGGTGTAGGGGATGGTTGGAAGAAAGTTAGGGGCGGCCAAACCAAAACGTGGCATCAGTGCTTGAAGTCACTAACTCCTAGTTTTAGCCATGTTGGTAGATGCAGACTATTTGGTTGGGGTCCGAGTGACTATCGTAACCAATGGTTGGAGACTCTTGGTGACATGGCTCAGAATCGATCACAATGGCGTCGGTGTATACACTCTTTGTCTTCCCTTAAACTAAGAGATTAAAATCACTTCATACGAACTAATTCTTCCTTCCTATACTATATCCTTATTGCAACCTTTACCTAACCACTCCTATGAATCCGGTGTTCATCTTGTTGTGCTAATGAGGTATGGCAACCTGGACCGATGCACATATGTGCCTGGTCCTACGTTGTAGCTGACTGCACGTCGGGGCAGTCGGTGGTTGGAATACGTAACACATGTCCCAGCCATCTCAACTGATCAAGTTTCACTACTTCATCAATTGATTTGCCATCCTTACCTAGTACCCATTTCCTAACAACTACATTACTTACTCGATGGTCCCAGGACATACGAGCAATGTTTCGAAGACACCTATGATCGAATACTAGTAACCTACGAATATCCTCTACTCTTACCGGCCATGTTTCACTGCCATAAAGTAGGACGGGAGGAACTGTTGTGCAGTAAACACGTCCTTTGGTTGATAGACGGATTTTTTCACACACTATACCACAAGGTCTGATGAGACTTCCAAGATAAGTGAGGCGGTCAACACGCTCAACTACTTCACTCCCTATCATCAGTTCGGGTGACGACGCAACCCAATCCTGAAGCAACATTTTGCATTTCGAGGGGGAGAATCGCGTCCCGAACATGCTTGCATTGTTGCTTAGAGTGATCAGAAGACTGCATTTTGTCAGCGTCTTCACCAAATAGAACTATGTCATCGGCATATTCCAGGTCAACAAGTGAATCTCCTGGTAGAAGTTCAACCCCTGGAAATGTAGACGAGGAAAGTGTTATCTCTAAAAATACGTTTACGACAAAGTTGAACAAGAATGGAAAGAGTGGGCAGCCCTGACGAATACCACTTGAGGTAATCAATTCTGATGACAGTTCGCCAAAATCTCTCACTCTGCCAGTTGTGTTCGAGTAGAGAGCCTTTACAAGGTTAATGTACTTCTTCGGTACTCCTTTCAATGACAAACACTGCCATAGAACCTCACGATCAACAGAGTCGAATGCTGCCTTAAGGTCGAGAAATACTTCGATGGTGGGGCGTTTGAACGAATTTCTGTCCTAGAACCTGACGTAGTGTGAATATCTGGTCTATACAACCACGTCCAGGTCGAAAACCAGCCTGATTTTCTCTAGTCTGTTCTTCACGAGCTTTGGTTAGGCGTCGAAGTATTATTGAAGCTAATATTTTAGACACTATATTAGTCAAACTGATTCCTCTGTGATTGTCACAAGAGGACTTTTGTCCTTTCTTAAAAACCGGCACAATCAGTGATTGAGACCAGTCAGATGGGATTACGTCCAGTTCCCAAATTCTACTTAAGGCCTCAGTTAATCTTACTGCTAATACTGAACGGCCATCCCTAAAAATCTCAGGAGTGAACCTGTCAGGGCCTGCTGCTCTCCCTCGCTTTAGATTTCCTATGGCTTTTTCAACTTCGTAAAGGGACGGAGGACTTACACTAACTAGCCATTCAGGTTGACTGGAGATCGTGGGAAACCGAAGTGTGGCTGAAGGCCAGTTGAACTGATCCCTAAAGTGTTCTGCCCATCGATCCAGTCTACTAGATTGAGAATGTATAATATGTCCATCTTCTCTGAGATTGCTTCGCTAACGGTCGGATTCCTAATACCGGTTTCCCTAACGAGTCTGAACAATTGTCTGCTATTACCTATTGCCGCTGCCTTGTCCACCTCTTGTTTTCACTACCCACCGCTATTCGCGATCATTGAGTAGGTTTCTTATCAGCCTGCGCTTAAACTGACTCCGCTCTTCGTCATGTTCAGAGCCAGATGGGATGAGTTGTCGAGCATCTATGAGTGAGGTAGATGCTGCTGAGATAGCGTTTCTCCCTAACCTTACGGTTTACTTTACTAGCAGATATCACTGCTGTTTCCACAGTTTTTCGGATATCATTCCACGCTGCCTCGTGGTGGGCATCACTTACATGGCTACCTAACTGTTTTTTCCAGTTGTTCCTGAAATATATTCCTAGCTTGGCTAGCGTTAAGTATAACCCTAAGAGGTTTCCTTGCAGAGTCGTTCCTACGTCCACTAAGACGCATATAAATACGCGCTCGCATTATAACATGATTCTTCGTAGCTCGGTCCAACTCATTTGACCATTCTAGGTTCTATACATTCATAACACACCATAAAACAACTTCCCAACACTCCGTTTCATTGCATCTGGTTCTCTTAGACTGAAAACCCTGTAAGATTTCATGAAATCGATCTCGCCAACATGAAAACTACGAATATATACAACTCGTCCTCCAACCTTTCTAGCAGCAATTCAGTACTAAAAAGTGTTCGAATTCTCCTTCCAAACGGGCTATAAAATGGTCACTCCCCATCTGGAAAACATCGGTTAGGAGTAGCTCATCGAGACGTTCAGGACGAATTTGTCTTTTGGTCTAGTATCTGTCTCCTTTTGTCGTTAATCAAATCTCACTGAGTGACGTCGATGAAATGTTCTAAGCGTCCAGTCAACTGTGGGTGATAGAGACCAGAAATGCTTTTATACTTATTGTTACCAACTATGTATATTTATTCTAACTGTAGAGCTCCAAAATGCCCTAGTACAGCCGAGGGTGGGAAGAGTCCGCTCTCCCTCTCGAAATGATCTCACGTGACGACACGTATACAGCCACTGACAGAGAAGGCATACTCACTGGGAGGAAGAAAGGTGAATCTCCGATACCTTAAACGGGTTGGTGGACACGGAGGGTCCAATTAGGGGAGTTGAAAAATGCTGATTCCAAACTAATGATGCACAGGAGCTTCGGGATCTTGAGGGAACGAACGGCATACAAATCAATTATTGGTCACCTATTACCATGGGACTGCATCGCCTAACGTTGCTCCACTAGACAGGAAATAGAGCTGCGAATAATGTATTGCTTCAGAGGGTCACGCTTTTCAGTAGTACAAAAACAGATAAATTTACGAAGATAGAAAAAGGAATAATAACGTCACCGGATAAAAGGTGAATAAGACGCAGAGCAAAAAGATAATGATAGTCCAAAGAGAGAAAATAAATACATTTACATTGCTGTGATAATTGTTGATACCTAACAGCTTCTAAATTTAAAATTTAGATCTAAAGACAAGGATAGGTATGACTGTAAATAAATGACTACCAGCATAGTGACACTGAGTGATTTTCACTGGTTCTATGAAAATTTGAATGCACCGAAAAAAATATTACTCAGAAAATATGAGTTGACCATATTATTTTTCACTAAATATTGATTTATCTGATTAATAACAAAAAGCATTCATTTTACGTTATTCACCCACCTTTTGAATAAACCAGATAGCAGGTAATGTGCATGTCTAACAGCTGTACTATAACTGCTCAATACATGTTTTTCATCTTTATTGAATTGTGCGTTATCTATTGTAACGGCTTCGGAAACAAATGAACTTTGTGTTGGAGTAGACACAGCAGATGAAGGAAATTTGCGAACGGACGGGTTAGAGCAGTTGTTTGCAGGAAAAGATAAATTCGGTGTGTGAATTAAACCTTGAGTGATACAAAGAAAGAGGGCACTTAGTGCATGGATGTACAAATATTGGGGAGATTCACTTTGGATTGAACGGGATACATTGGATTTTGCTTTAGAGCCATAATATTCTTCATAAAAATATGAAGATGACAACAAGCTGTAAGATCGTTGCAATTTAAGAAAGATTTTGGTGAGAAGATTGCATAAACACGAATAAAATTAACAAAAATAGTGGGGAGAAATCATCTGAAAATGATGGTAGTATTACAAGTAGGTAGTAAAGAAAAAACAATTAACTCTTCTATTAAAGGGAACACAGCATCCTGAGTCAAGTATGGTAACTTGGACCAATGCTCATCCATTCCAGCATCTATGTTGATTATATTTGTCTCTCTGCATAAAAAAGATACAGATGTGTGACTCGCTTGTTCATGCACTTTAAATGAATACCCAAATGGTTTAAAACCTACCCATTTATCAGGGTTTAAAGAAACAAGTAGCATCAGAAAATAAAAAAATACGGAGATTGCTAGTATTTCATTCCAAAATAATGAAATAAACAGTTGAAGTCATAAGAAACATACCGGAAGGTTTTAGCAGTCCGCCTATCGGATGGGTATATTATTTTTTCAGTTTCTGTACTGACACTGGGTGCAGATTTTCGCTTGACATCAAGACCTGATAAAAACGTACGAAATATTTCATCAACAATCATCTTCCTGTGAGCTTCATACTGTCCATAAAGAGTGCCTAAAAGTGCAAGACTTGAGCGTTGCAGGTGCTCTGGCCAACTGACCATAAACAAAGTACCAAGCGTTTTTGCTGAAGAACCCATGAATTCCGAAGGATTTTCAGTATGACTTATGAAGTTGAGTAGTTTCTGTGGAGAGAGCAAAAATCGTTTCCATTCATTCGTTATGCTGGTTCCTGATGTCAAAGAATAAGAAGGAATCGCCATCCCGAGTGAAGTAAGATTAATTACTAAATTATCTGTAAAACGATTGGGTTGTAATCGCATAAGATTGACTAGTAGAATCATAATTTGTGTTATTCGATAACCAACATGACCCAGTATTGAAAAACTTGGTGACACAGCTGAGCTTTGATAATGAGGTGTATGAGAAGTAACTCCTGCAATGAAAGACATAAATTTAATAAGTTTTATACAATTAATTAGGCGACTGAATTAACGGCGGTTACGATATAATCATAATAAATTAAAAATATAAATCCTCAAGAAAATTAAGCACGATGGAATGGAGAACTAAAAGAATTTTTGTTGTTTCTACACAAAACCTAAAACAGTGCTGAAAAATACTTGAAATGAAATCAGCACAACCAGGTAGATAGAGACAAACAGATAGATAGGTAGGTAGATAGATAGACAGACAGACGGACAGACAGGGAAATAATGTTGAGTTATTGTGAATCAGTTTATATCCTAGAACAGCCATAAATTTTAACGTTTACAGAACACTTGGAGTAGGTATTAGGATGGATGTTTAAGGATGAAAGTTCTTACAATATGAATAAAGATTATTTGTGAATTCAAGACACAGCGTAAAAAACAATGAAGGAATAAGGAAAACATGAAAAACATGGGACTTACTCATAATATTATGAATGAGACAATCTAGTTGCTGTTTTACTACAGATACAATACCTTCGATCAAATCCTCCATGAGTAAAGGCCGTGGCATATCTGGTCCAACAATAATATTTAAAGCTGTACGGGCGCAATCTAAACCAATGAGAGAGGAGGACCATTCGGGATCAGACCATAAGACTGTTTCTGTAAAATAGCCATTCCGAGTAGAAGAATTATCACTGATTTCAAGTTGTTCCCCATTATACTTATAGCGTTTCTTAGAAATTCGATGTGTTTCAACCTAGATTTAAATAACCACGAAGTGTTCAGTAGCAAGCTGAAATCGTAACAATTATACTCGCATAACTCGAAAAATAAAAAACCACAACCTAATGGAACTGTTTCCCTTGAAAAGTATTGATTATCAGAAATCGCAAAAACAGTCTTAACTTCACTGGTATGCATTATTATATGACGATATCCAAATCAGATCATTTGGAAAATAACTTTTTAGTGTGAAGGCATTTATTTGACACCCAGCTAATGAATAAATAAAGACAGGAAGAGGTATTTTATATGTAAACATGGGCTGTAATGATCTTGTTACAACATAATTCTTTTTTCTAAAATAAACTGTTCTTGATCTTAGTCGGTATTTCGGTAATTTTGCATTTGATAATGAAAGAAAATGGGATATCCGATTAACGTATCTAAAAACTTACACAAGTAATTGCTGGACTTAACAGGGACTTTTAATATCAAGTAGAATAGGACAAAATTATTTCAAACAAACTAATACTATTAATTATTTTAACAATCAACGTGGGAGAACGACTATTAACAGCCACCTTCAAAAAGTTTTTATTTTTCTAAATGAAAAATCACTGCCAGTCACGTTAAAAACTGAAGAGGACGCATTAAAAACAGTCACCACATTGTCTAATAGTTGCGTTAATGTAAAAATTTTGAAAAATATTTTACATTGATGAATGAGGATAGAAAGATTTGTACGTGAGCTATGAAGAAATCTCAAGTTGTTTGAATATTATTCACGTCATTTAAAATAACACAAAGAGCGGTAATCTAAATTTTCAGATTTATGAATCAATAAGAAAATATGGATTAACGAATTTCCAGTTTACCTAAAGTTTATTAACCAAAAAAGGTTTAAGAGCAAAAATATCCATGATGTAATTAATTGATTTATACTGTCTATTGTGATCATGCGCTGAAATTAAGCCGACTGAGGTAAGTTTTGATGCCCAGCAATGATCGAGTGAACAGTGAATGAACCCTATCTCAAAAGATATGGGAAGAGGTGGTTGTTGAAACAATACAACAAAATCATTGCATCTAGCTTTAGACAACAGTATTCAACGATTTAACATATAATGAAATGAAAACGACAAGAATGTAGATGGAAACTAACTTACAATATTTGAAATATTTGGAGAAACGGAAGCAGCTTCTTGCATATTTACCAACAGTAAAGTTAGAAATCGAACCAAACGACCTGTTGGTATCGTTGACATAGACCCAGCAAATCGGATTTTAGCTGAATCGGAGCATAACGACATGATTTCTTGTTTAGTAAGACGAGCTGAATCGGGAAAAGTGGATGAAACATTATTGCGCGCACAGGACTCATCACTATCCTCTTGATCAGAGGAACTCCTTTTGCAGACAGTACCAAGTTTGCTCTGAACAACGGCTGCTAACTGAAGCAAATCAAGTTCTTCAACACGTCGTAAAATTTTGCTTAGACGGTTTGTAAATTGATGGAGAACAGTTGATGTAGAGTAATCTGACTGACGAGAGTGTTCAAATTCATGCTCATCAGAAAAAATAGTAGCTACATCATCAGTGATAGAAGATAACGAAGACGGTGAGAAGGAACCGAATTCGTTTGCTTTCGGTGCATCAAGATCTGTAGAAGTAGAACAAGATTTGATTTCTGAAGAGTCAGAATCAGAACCAACATCTAGATTTGTATCACGTCGACGGCAGTTGACGTCAGGGGAATCGTCATCATTATCTTCCATGGCAGAGCTGTGGGTATAGGCTATTGTACTTGGTGTACGACACCTGTGATCAGAACCACATGCAGTATCTATTCCTGAAAACAATCTTGGAGACGAACTTGCTATGCTACTATTGCTGGATTCACTGTGTTCACTTTGATTTGATGGTACATTTTGACCATCCATTACTTGGGTTGGACAAATATCGAATTGTTTACATAAATGAGAATTCATTGTTTCAGGTTTTGTGTTAGAAATCTTATCTAAAACACTATGACTCGGCTCAGACGAACAAATGTTTGAGTTTGAGGAAACATCAACAGTGAGATGACCGAAAGACAGATCAGTAAGTGACACGACAGGCTTCTTAGTTGCTTTTGTATTCAAATACGTATGATGTGTAGAACACGGTTGTGGTGAAGGCATATCTTTCATACTACATTCTGTAGAGTAAAAATAAAGATGAGGGTAAACTAATTTCACTAACAATAATTCATATTGTTCTGAAGATTAATCTTTGTGATATATTAAATAAAACAAAACAAACAATGTAAAACATGTCTAAACTTAGGCTACGTATAGTATTTCGATTATTCATATACCCATTAACGTACCTTTTCTCAGTAGATTATTTTTTAATAATTAGATAAGTGGATGAAAAAAAATTCTGAATTACAAGAGAATTTGTAATCAAACGAACATATTGAATTAACTCCGTTTATCTAGGGGATAGTTAATATATAAAGTACATTTACCAAAAGTTTGTAAAGAATAGATAAATCAGGTACGGCATAAAAAAACAATTGATTACCTACTGCAATTTAAATAGAGGATTGACCAAGATACATAAACTGAACCAAAATAAAAAATGATTAAACGTTCCAGGAAAAAATATCCAAATTATTTCAAACAATCAACGAAAGGAATAACGGATGAGAACATGAAACAAACCAAACATGAGGCTTAGAAGATTTGTTACTGGATGATAGAGATTTATTGCTATTAGTACTAATTATTATAATGAACAGGAATGAAATAATACCAAGTACATAGCAAGCACTAAAAAGATTCGTGGAATCCTTCAAATAATCAAAAGCGAATATGAGATCTGAAATACAAATAAACAATTGTTTACAAGATTTAATTTCTCGACCCTACAATTTTGTTGCTAACTGAAGATGATTTATAACATTGAGAGAGTGTAGTCTAATTTCATTAAGTATCTACATCAATAAACTAAACAATGCTAAGGAAAATGGAATTTTTCGCGATAGCTTTTTAGTTTTGCTTGATGGCAAATAAGCAGTATTTTCACTTTCATCAAAAACTTGGGTATGTTCGTCTACGTTTCATGAACGTGGGGAAAGTTTCAAAGCTTAAGTTAACAGCTTTGCTACTTATTAACATTACTTGCTTTATTACATTTAAATTTGCTTATTTAATTTAAATTACCTTGATTTTTTACATTAATACCTAGTCGCTCAAGCCAAATCAGGTGGGGCGGGGTCCGAAACTATAACTTAATGTGAACATTTTTAGACTTAAGCATATTTGAGAAAAACATAGGGCAATGATGGAACTTCAAGTATCACATAAGTAATGGAATGGAGATCCAGCAACTACACACATATATAGAGTTTCACCTGTCAACAATTAGTTATTCTAGTCACACGAACACAAGTCAAAATTTATCGTAATAATACTATTATTCCAAGCCATTGGTGTATCTGTTTTATAAATCACTTGTCAATAGAATTTGTATTTTAACCTGAGTCTACAAGATAAATAAAATATAAATAGTTCCGTCATATTTCTTTAAAAGATTTACTTTATATACCTTGTACAAATATTAACGTAAATGGGGGGTAAAGTGTATATTAGGAAGTCTCTATTCCATATATATGTCTATTAGATTTAGTTTTATCCCTTTCAGTGCTTTTAATGTCATGTTATTTGATTCGCAAAATCATTTGCTACATAGTTAAATACTTATTCTTCTTTTTCCAACACAGTATAAAGTATTTTGCGAACATCCTTATTCTCTTCTGAGTAAAGTGTCTATGGTATTAATTAGAGGATTGTTCCTATTCAGCTTGAAAATCGTTCCTAGTATGGATAAATTCGAACATCTGAAACTCTCACACACGTCTAACGGATTCTGCATGAAAATCAAATGAACTTTACAACAAAGATTTTGGGTATATATTTAGTTAGAATGTCCAAGAATTCCACTATTTTTTTTCTATAATGGATTATTTTTCCCTCTACTGTAATGGATATCTAAACCTGTTTTTCTTAAAGTACCGGGAATGAGAACTAAGGCATAAACAAGAGTAATGTTGAACTAAAAGCGTCCGCTTAGTCAAAAGAACGAGATATTAACGGCAGGTAGAAGCTACTTTTTTGACTAGCATTGTCAGTAATAATGGTTGCGCAAGAAAAGGAAATGACAATCAGTACAAAAGCCATACACATCAACAATATTATCAAAACAATATACAAAAATCAAACTCGGTTATATCCACTTACATGATAATTAAGATATGACAAACCAAAATGGAAACGTTCATAGTTTATCAAAGTAGTAGAAACACATTATGAAAAAAGCTCAAGTGAATAAGGGATGAGTGATATTTCGAATCGACTTATGATCAGAGATAATATAAAACGTAACATACAAAGCAACCTAGGAAAGCTTTATAGTTTTTGCTAAACTGTTTTTTAGTTGACTTATTGTAAAACAGATATTGAAATATTATTACACGTTTCACTTAATTGTGGTCTTAAACAAGTAGTTGAACCAATATGAATGCTTTAAAAAATTGTAGCCCGTCAAAGTAAACAGTTGCAAATATACTTAGAAAATTTTAATGATTGAGTCTCAAACTAATTAAAAATGCTAGGATTTTTAAAGTGACAAATGAATTTTCCACCAACTGAATTGTAACAACCATGTTACTTACCAACGTGGTCCTGACATTTAGCACTTTCTAACACATCAACAGACAATGGTTTATGAAGTAAACTAGGAGAGTAGCGACTCAAGGGTAAGAGGGGTGGCAAATGTAGAGATGAATTATTTGACCGAGCACAAGATCCATGAATTGAACGAGATCTGAAAGACTAAAATATATTCACATACAATAATAACCGAAAACCTTATAGATAAAAGTCAATGAAAGTACAACTGAAAATATGCAAAAAACTAACTGAAAAATGTTTGGTATTAAAAAATAACAGAATAATAATGCGATTGAGTATCAATTTGTGTACTCGGTAATGAGCTCCACACCGAAGCGAAGTATGTCGCAAGAAAGAAATGATCTGAACGACGCTTAACTGCATTAGCTAACGTTGCCAACTGTTATAGCTCGATAGAAAACTACAAGGAATACAAATCCACTTAACAAAGTAATAGATAGTATTAAAACTAAAATCGTAGATTTATTAAAATACGAAACCATAGTACAAAATACAATCGTGTGATACACAAACAAATCATCAATTAGGTGTGGAATTCTATAGGTAAATATGTCATTAATTTTTTGTGTGGACTTATTGGTTATTCTGGTGCATTAAGTTATCTATATAAAATAATAAGTAATCCACTATTATTATGTAGATATAAGGATATCAGTTAAGTTTATATTATACACCAGATCCCTTAAGTCAGAAAAAAATCTCAAACATAATCATAGAAGTTAACAAGAACAATAACTGCTTCGTAAAAGACAATTTATAAGTCTTTGATAACAGGAAAATAATTGATACCTCACTAATAATGATACTACTAAGTATGGATTATATTTTATATCATCATAATACACTGAATCCAATATAAACGATAAAATGGCAGGAGGTTTCAATTTTTGACGCTGAAGAATGTTGAATTATTTGACGACTGACAGACTGCTGAGATGGTGACTCAATAATATGAAGGAGAAACTAAAATCAGCACCAATTATTTAATAAAATGCTGAGAAATTTTTAATCGAATATATTTAAAAAGTTGGTGTTAAAATAGCTGTTGGGAAATGCAAACAAATAAGAAGAATACTGAGAAATAATGATACCTATTTATTACCATGATATTTGCTTTAATTCATAAATGATAAATAATCATATTATCAGTATCACAAAGCAAAATAAGGATGAAAACTCGAAACGGTCAAATAAGTTATCCATTTTTTACAGACTTCGCTTGCCGATTGGGAGAAATTTGCTCAGTCTCCATTTGCATGTGTATATCCCGGGAGGATGAATCGATGTTGATAACACATACGGATTTTTATCAAGTCTTTGCAAATCTCAGTAGTATCGAGATATCTGTCTGAAAATCCCATATGGTAATAGAGAATGATTAAGTGCAGTCCTGGATGTCCACAACACGTGATTACGAAACCTTAGAAAGAAAAATATCTACCATTAACATTAAATGGTCAGTGGATAACGTGATGCTGGTTGAAGCGATGGGTATTGGATTAGAATTTTTGTGAATTTCCTGGATGCCACTCCCAACCACAAAGCCAAAAACAGAAAATTATCTTCAGGACTTTGTGACCGATTACCATAAGTAGTATTACAAAACGTATCTTATAATAACACCAGCACACCGAAGCTCATGTCATTTTACTTTCAGATTTCTAATTACCAACAAACAATATAAGAAGCGACTTTGAAGGTGTCTCGAGAATATTCAGTAGCTGGTTATCACAGAGAATTAATATCAAACAATTTAGGTGAGAAGCAATATCCCTTAATATCTTCTAAACAAATCACAGTCTGATATCCTAAGTCACATGATATTCGGGTATTCTTCACCAGATTTCATAATAAAGCATCAATGATACAATGATAAGCAGATACAAACAATGTTATGTTTTCAAATAACTAATTAAATATTTGTACTTCTTGCTATCCTGTGAAGATCAGGATGTAAAACTGCTAGTAATAGTGAATCAATGGTCATGCACCAAAGAAACATATGAGCCACCTCTTCTATAAAACATATTTTGGAGAAATCCCCTCCTTACTCCGAAACAATTCTCCTAAGCATTCCATATTTATTTCGCACAGTAATCAATACACAGTGACAACATTGTACAAACTATGTCGGAATTCGATAGTATGATTGTACTGAAGACCATAGCTGCATATGTGTTATTATTTCGCATGTGCAACAAATTTGCCAGGTATACATTTTTGAAACTGATTTTGAGCCACATAATCTGAACGTTAGGGTTACCGTACGGTTAGTCAAACCAAAGTAGGCAGACCGGAGTTCACATCTGCTGTGCTAAGTCCGTTAAGTTACAGTTCCCTAAAATTGAAGCAACTTCATGGAAAGCAAGACTTATTTTACACATGTCCTCTCAATAGCTTCTAAGCAAAGCATTAATTCGTAGCGAAAGTAAATGTAAAAGGTGGACAAAAGCTTTCAGAATGAAGGATATCATTATCAAATCATGTTATTTCACTACAAACCACCGAATAAAGAATCAGAAATTATGCAGCTCGGTAGTTTGAAACATTATAACACATGATCCGAAATAGTAACTAATGGAGATCGTATTGACGTATGACGCTGTTTTTCATAAACAGTAAGATATGCGTTTGATATGGAACCTATTTAAGCCGTCTTTATTGTTGCTATCACGGTATAGTTTCCCCATCTTATCACATCATAACATGCCTTTATTTTGTGGCAAAATCCCCGTTACCCTATTATACCACACATTTTTCCGTTATAAAATGTATATGATTGGAGTACAGGAGAACAAAAGACCAACGATCTATGTTCTTGGAAGACATCAAACAATTCACTACAATATATAAGGGAAAAAACTCATATATGTTCATGCACATGACCTATACCAAGCAAATACATAGATATGCATTAATGTCTCTTAAAAGCACCATTTCAAATAAATCAAACTCTTAAAAGATGAATCACACAGCTAATCCCTGCTATAAGATAGCGAAACATGAAGACGATAAGACTTTAACCGTTTAATGATCTTGAACATACATTTGTCAGTGACTCATACTTGAATAGCCTATGAATCAGTTATACAGATTATGAAGAGATTTTCAGAGAAAAGTCACTCACAAATAGAAAAATGTGTAAACGTGTTGACTTGTTTGTGGAAGTACAGGGTCAAGATGCGGAAAGAATTTGTGATTAAATATTTTTGGTCATTAGATGTTCCAGGAAGATTATCTGAAAATTTATTTAGAAATGGCTCATGCAATAAGCGTACAGTGAAGCCCACTTTCTAACAAATTGTGTGACCGTGACCTTACTGAGTGCTATACTTATAATAAGAGCAGTCAATACAGTGACGGGATTTACTCTTGTTGGATATAAAAATAAATGATGGACTTAACTCATTATACCAAAAAGGACGCTAAATAAACATACCTGCACAGTGACTGGATCTCGGTAATTACACGTCGATGACTTTGTATCTTTCCATTGTGATGTAGCATGAGCTTTCTTTGCATCTGAGAAATCAGAGTCCTGATCATTTGCCTGAGTGGAAAAAGTAGAGACTAAAGCAACATCATCGTTGGAATTAGATGCCATGTTGGGACTCTTGACGTTACACGGAACAAACGATCTCGCTGTTCTGTCGTACACAGTCGTGTCGTGTGTATGGCAGTTACTAGTTGAGTCGATTTTCTGATATGATAAAACAGGAGGGCTAGGCTGCAAACTGTTAATAGGTGGGACACTACTCATGGATGGTGAATTAGACTGAACAGATGATAAAACTGTGCTAGTAGGAGACAGCGAACAATCACTGTCAGTTGATTGGATTAGTTTGGTATAGTCATTTACAGCTGCACTAATGCTACCTCCTTTTCCTTGGCTCTCACGTTCTGTTTTGAATGTTGTACGTTGAGTACCTTTTTTATTTTCACGTTTTAGTAAACTGGCTGACTTATGCATTCTAAGAGGTGAAGTGACTTTGAGATGACTCTGTCCTGGAGATGGGGTAGAGAGAGGGGAAACTTCACAGGAACTCCTGAGTGTCTCTTTATTTGGTGATGCTTTAAAGCTCTTAGATTCCATTTCACGCTGTTGTCGACGCCGCTTGACACGTTCTACAAGAGCCTCTGTAAAACCACCATACTGGTGGCATACATCCGAGAAATTTAAGTTTGAAATATCCTTTTTTGAAACAGCAGTCTGAACCGAAGCTTCTGATATAGCAAACGTAGTCCCAGGATCCCGACCGGTAACCGAGTTTTGAGGTGAATAGCGGACTTCGCAAAGATCCTCATTTTTTTGTTCGAAACCAGGATTTGCGTGATCTAAGACACTCCACCTCTTAAGTTCTTCAAGTTCAGTTCGTCTACGGCGACCTGAGAATTGATACAAACAGTAAAAGTACTTTTGGAAACAGTCAAGCACAAGAAAACCATAGCAATTCTACATTACGTTAATAACAAAAGTAATATCGAAAAATAGAACATGACTACTTTTATGATTCTGATTTAGGAAGAAACTACAATATGACTACGATTGTTCAAGCTAAACTGACTAATTTCCTCGACTCAGAGTTATTTAGAGTCAGATATTTCGGACTATCAAGTGGATATTTACGTATACAATAGTGGTTAGCGGATACATGTGATACGGATCCTTCGGTAAAAGATTTCTAGAAAAACAGTGATGGAATATTACTAGTCTCACTAATTATATGTAAATCCTTAAAAAAATCACGAAGGCTGACATACAAAAACTTCGGAGAATAGTTTCGGTATATATATATAAGGACATAAATTGAGACTATACTGTTAAAACATGGAAATGTATTTTACCTCCACCTCTGTGCTTTCCAGATGAAAAACGACCACGACCATTTTGTTTTGGCTTTGAGTAAGTTGTTGGGCCGTTACCGGAGAAGCCGATGGTTTTCAACGAACCGGAAGTTCGAACAGTCATTTCTAACGGACTGACAGAATTTAGGTCAATGCAATCAATAGCCGGGGACAAAGCTGGTCTCGGAGACACTGAGTTTGCAAAAGTTGCAGGAACATCTTCATTTGAAAATGCAGATGGATGTGCGGAATTAATTCGCTGATTATTACAACGGGGTAGATACGCCGCCAGTCCATGAGGGGTACAATTCACCTGTTCTTCCAAGGCACTACAAGTAGACAGGTTGGTAGTTAGAGTTTCATCAAATGAGTCAAACAATCTCGTAGGTGATGGTATATTAACCTTGGATATTGAGAGAGATGCTGCCACTGCTGAAGCGGATATACTCACTGCAGAGGTAGCATTGTGAAACGAAACAGGGATGTTTTTACCTGAAGTGGTTGGGCATGAGCTAATCGCAAGCGTAGACAAAGGACTACGAGGAAAACTCCCCGTTGTTTCATTATCAGCACAGACACATAACTTTTCCTTGATGGCTGCTGATGTAGATGAAATGCAAGGGGTCTGAGAAGTACATCCAGGGGGGATAGATTTATTTGGTACTGTAGGAACAGACATAACTGGTGATTCCGAAAGCTTCGGTGCATCAACCCAGTCGTCAAAAAGGCCACCACCTTCGTTATCCACTCCTTTGTCGGGCTCGCATGTAGGTTGGTAAGTGTGAAAGAGAGCCACAGAATGAAAGATTTGGGACAATGCTGGATCGGGGATTCGCCGAGTTTGAGCTGAGTTCGTATCATAACCCGACGATCCAAAGGTGAGATCACTAATTTTAGGAGATGGGGATTGTTCTGTACACAACTGATCAGCTTCGCACGGAGAGTGAGTAGTATGAAATGTCGACGGGACTTCCACTCTTGATGCATCATCAATCAAAATATTCGCCGATGAATCTGATAGTGTGTAATTAGTCTGGTCTTTTACGAGATTTATCGTGGAGTTTAAAGAGACCAAACCCGTAGAATTGATTGGCTTCGATGGGTCGTCAGTTATTTCAGTGTAATCTTCTGATTTCTTTGATTTATTTAAATAGGATGGGTTGTTCTGGGATTCAGTAGTAGAACCAAGTGTTTGGCTTGCTGAACGATTTAGAGAATCGAGAGTGTGGGTAGCTATTCTTACAAGACATGTTCCAGTTTTATCCAGATAATTTCCCTATTACAAACAACATAGAAGCATGGAAACAGAAGATAGAATAAAGGCCAATATTACTGAAAAACATAAAATTACTCATGTTTATACTAGCATTAATTACCAATGATCGTCCAATGAAATTAATTGACTAAATAATCATACATAGAACATATGCTTGCAAGAAATTTTATTCTCTAATTACAGATCGGTGGTATAAAATACAATGAATACCAAACCAACCATGAAAAAGAAGGGGTAAAGAAGTTGTGCAGCATTACAAGAAGTTTACAAGGCTGTTTGATATACAACTGAAAAACTCGACCACCTGGTTTAGGCTTCAAAGATCGAAATCACTTTATTATTAGTGCCTAAAATTTCAAACGATAGTATATTTGAGGGATGCTAATACTTGATACAAGAAGCAATAAATATTTTATCAGATTGTAAAAGCCAACAGGTTTTCCATGAATCCCCAATGCCCTTGTACGGTCGAAGTTGGGAAGAGCCCGCTCTCCCTCTCAAAATGATCTCACATGACCACGCATAAACAGCCACTGACAGAGAAGGCGTACTCACTGCCTTCTCGCGACGGGGTGTTGTTTACGAAATTGAGAGGACGAAAGGTAAATGTCTGACACAACCGGGTTGGTGGACACGAAGGGTCCACCTAGGGAATTTGGAAAACCCTGATTCCAAACCATCGGTGCACATGGGCTTCAGGGTCCTGAGGGAACGAATGTTGTACGAACCTATTGTTGGTCACCGGCTAGCTGCATATCACTCAAATCGAATGATGAAGCGTAGCGTGTATATATTCGGTGTCTCCTTGTACCAATATTTATGTCTAAACAATAATAATAATAATAATAATAATAATAATAATAGAATAGTCAATGACTTCGTGAACTGTTAATATATCTTGGTTTGATCTATGTGCATTTATTTAGAAACTTTTGGAGTTTAAGGTAGTTTTACGAAACTGACAGGAGTCTGTGCCTATTCTCTTGATAGTAAACAGATACAAGTATTCCATAATTTGTGTATTTAAGTTGATGTATGAATTAGTCAACCGTGAGTGATATCCAACTTGAGGTAGTTTGGCATGATATTCAAACAACTGTGGAAAGAGCAGTGATACCTACTAGTAACTTAAACCAAAGGATTGCAGGAAACCAGTGGATTTCATTTCAGTCTACAGAACTGAGAGATGTTCAGAAATTCATCACTTCTGGCTCCGAACACAATACGGAGAGAAGGTAGCTTATATGTAGGCTGATAAAAAGTCTATGTAATTATCTTGAGCAGTGGTGGGTAGCAAAAGCAGAAGAGATGGAAAAGGCAACAGCGATAGCTAACATTAGACATCTGATCAGACTTGCAGAGTAGACGTGTGTTGGTCAATCAGCTACAACGTAGGGCCAGGCACATATATACATCGATCCGAGTTGCTATACCTCATTAGCGCAAGATGAACACCAAAATCAGTCACTTCAATGGTAGTAATCCATAAAGGAAAGATTGTGTATAAGGATATAGTACGGGAAGAAAGAATTAATTTGTAGAAAGTTATAAAGCAATTTTAAGTGCGTGACCGAAGTCCCTGGGTTCGAATCCTGCGAGCGGAATTGTGGGTGCGCACTGAGGAGGAGTCCCACAATAGCACGAAACGGCCGTGCGTCCAGGTTTTCAATGGTGGTCTAACATCAATCGGTCCATGACCTCAATCAAAAACTTAATCTCCACAACCCAAAGCTCATTAGTAAAAATCCATTGGTTTTTCGTAACGCGTTGACTCAAATCACTAATAGATGTCACTGCTGTTTCCACGGCTGTTCGTGTTTCTTTCAGAGCAACATCTAGGTCAGCCTCGTTGTCGAAACTACTTAAATTTGACCTCAGTTGCTCAGTCCCGCTAACACATCGAATGCATTTTGTATCAGCAACCAGTAAACTGACCACCTGAACAATAATATTACTTTAGTGCCACAAAATTAGTATGAGTTATCTGTTTAGAAATAGATGTAAAGAACACATCAATGTCTACGATGTGCATAGTTGATAAAAACAAATAATTAGGATATACAAGGATACCTCCTGGTCTATGTATATAATCAACTGACTGCAACTATAACATCGCAAAGAATGGGCATAACTGGAAACTGTGGGAAAGAATAAACTTTCAAATAGAATGACATTTATAGATGAATTTAGGTTACAAATAAGGATAAGCCAAGTAGTAAATTATATTCAGACCAAAAGGTACAAATGGTTTACAGTGGTAAGAGCTGAAAATTTTCATATATATATATATATATATATATATATATATATATATATATATATTTATATATATAGTCATTATTGATAACCACGACAAACAATGAATTCATAGTATTCTGCATCTATATTTGTTCTGGCTCCATTTAAATTCATAAAGGGAACTAATTGCATGAAATATCTCACGTTTCACAGACGTTTCTCTTTCAGCATTTTGTAATCAAATCGAAGTCAAATGATGACAAACCAGCCATTTATAATATCTATAAATACAGTCTTCTGAACAATGCGAGCAAAATTTAACCCGAACAGAAAAAATTATAAACTTATTGTTATAACTTGCAGCCTGTGTGCCCTGTTAATGTATAACGTAATGATACCGCCAATTGGAGAGTAGTAAATAATCGATCGGATCAATGACACGTAAAACCCGGTGCGAGCAGTCAAGAGTACTTATTTTATTTTATTTGGACAGCTAAACATTGGTACAAGAGGGCACCAAATATATATGCGCCACAAAAAACAATGAGAATGGGAAGAGAAAAATGGAGGTAAGGAGCGTAAAAACAAAGAACAATAACGACCAGACTATTGTAAGGTAGTGTAATAATCATAATAATAATGGAGGAGACGAAATCTTTCAGTTAAGGAAGATATAACCGCATTTTTATGAAGAAAGTAAAAAAACGTTACAGCAGGATCACCACTGGCTTCTATTGTGAGCTGTATCTGATAACGTCTCTAGCCACTGTGTTGCACCATCTCTCGGACCCCAGCCAGGGAGTCGTGAAGGACCAACAGAAGCCAGCTCTTCGCAGCTATCTTTCATACCACGACACCATGTCATGCACTGACCACCTCTCCGCTTTTTCCAACCAGTCCCAGAGTCGGCAAATAATGCACGACGTGGAACTCTCTGGAACGACATTCGTAGAACATGTCCAAGCCACCGAAGTCGACGTTTCAAGATGGTGACACCAATTGAGTTATCATCTCTGTGCCCGAACACACGATGCCGAACCTCTGCATTACTGACATGGTGTTGCCACTGAATGTCAGCAATCCTTCGGAGACACCGATGATCGAACACAGAGAGTCGTCTAACGTCCTCAACTCGGAGAGACCAGGTTTCACAAGCATAGAGCAAAACTGCTCTCACCGACGCGTTGTAGATCCGGCCTTTTACACCCAGACTAACATCACGAAGGCACCAAAGGTGGCCCAGATTGGCATAAGCCGCTCTGGCTTTCACTATTCGTGCATTGATCTCATCAGTCAGGCCACCACCAGCACTTATGCAGCTACCCAGATACACGAACTTCTCGACTACGTCTATCTGCTCACCATCCAGGGTGAGTACAGGATTAGAATCCTGTCAGTCTTGTGGAAGTACTTTGCACTTCGAAGGTGCAAAGCACATACCGTACCTACGGAAACTGATTGCCAACTGGTTAAGTGCGGATTGCATGGCTTGGGCATTATCGCACAGTAAGACAATATCGTCCGCATACTCAAGGTCGAGAAGTCTTTCTCCAGGCAACAGATCCACACCACCATTACTTACATTCATCAGAGCTGTTTCCAGAATGTCATCGATGGCAAAGTTGAAGAGGAATGGTGAGATTGGGCAACCCTGCCTAACCCCACTGCTCGAATGGAACAATGGAGAGAGGTGGTTGTATGCCCTCACTCTACCTGGGGTGTTTTTATATAGGGCTTTTAGGATGTTAATAAACTTCTCAGGCACACCCTTCTTCAATAGACAATCCCAGAGAACAGTCCTGTCCAACGAATCGAAGGCAGCCCTGATGTCAAGAAACACTACGATTGTTGGCCTTTGAAAAGTATGGCGGTGTTCTAACATTTGGCGGAGGGTGAAGATATGATCAATACATCCTCGACCAGAACGAAACCCGGCCTGCTCCTCGCGAGTCAATCTTTCTCGGGTTTTGAACAACCTACGAAGTATGACGGAAGCCAATAGCTTGGACGCAATCGGAAGTAGACTTATCCCCCAGTAGTTGTTATAGGAACGACGTGAACCCTTTTTAAAGATAGGGACAACTATCGACTCATTCCATGACGTGGGTACACTCTCTAGTTCCCAAACCTTTGTAAACAACGTCGTCAATTCCTTAGTCAAAAAGTCACCACCATCTTTAAAAAGAGCCGGAGGTAAGTCATCTGGGCCAGGTGATTTGCAGCGTTTCTGAGTTGGAGTTCCTTGCGGACTTCCGCCTCATTTGGTAGATCAGTCGTCACCGGCCATGGAGGGCAGGACAGTCCGACCGATGTCGCCGAAGCAGCAGACCAGTTGAACTGCCCTTCGAAGAATTCTGCCTATCGTCCAAGACGTCGTTGGATGTCAGTGATTGGCATTCCATCATCCTCACAGATTGTTTCACTCACACCAGACTTCTTGCTGCCAGTGGCTCGGATGAGTTGGAAGAGCTTCCGGTAATTACCAGATGCAGCTGCTGCTTCCAGCTCATTAGCACGCTTCGACCACCAGGCTTCTCGGTTCTTACGGAAGCTTTGCCCGATTTCCTTACGTAACATCCTTCGTTTATGGTCAAACTCACGGTCAGCCGGAGTAGACCGACGGGTTTCAATGAGTCGTAAGGAACCTGAAGAAACTCAGTGCTTAAAAGCGGGACGTTTCGCGAACCCACAACTGACTGTACCCGCCATTTTCATGGCGTCATGCAATTGCAACCAATGCTCATCTATACTTTTCGGTGGAG